ATTTTATTATTATCTCTACCAATAACTAAAATATGTTAGATGTAAAGAATACATATCATAGTATTTAATACCAGTGAAAATATCATATACGTTAAATTATAATCATATGTGATAATAGGAGAACTACTGAAATATTTCAGTTAATTATTTCTTTCCTTCAATACTTAGAATTAAATCCAGGGACACTTTACCACTGAACATCCCCAGTCCTTTTTATTTTGTTTTAATTTTTAGACAGGGCCTCACTAAGTTGCCAAGGCTGGCCTCAAACATGCAATCCTCCTGCCTCAGTCTCTGAAATATTTTAAAGATGCACTGGTGAGCCTTTGTGCCTGAAAATCTATAAACTACATGTAAAATATTTAACTACTTCTTTGATTCTGGGAGTTAGGTGGCAGAAATGTCTATATTCTAAAATATACTTGTCCTAAGGTTATTCCTTAACTTATAAATACTAAAAAAAAGTTTATTATATGCAGTGATGTGTTACAAGCAAAGAGATTCTGATGTAAAAGAAGTCTATTTGATAGATAATTTTCCATAGATAAACACTTGAACCAAAGAGCAGTAAAAGAAACAATTGGAATTTTGATTCACCAACAAGAATTTCAGAGAAGACACTTTTTAAAGCAGGAGGGAAACTAATTTGGGCTTATTTTATTTTGCTTTGCATATGAGTAAGCAATATTGTTGATGGAAAACAAATCCTAAAATAAGACAAGATTATCATTCCAACTGTGCGAGGTTTGTTATATCTTTGGGGAAAGAAGTAAAGTAAATAATTGGTACTCTCTCAACACAGGGATGTGCTTTGTGGTTACCTTTTGTGTACCAACATTGGCAATATCCCAAGGCTTGGAGAACTCGATGGTGAAATCACATCCACTTTGGTTGTGCAACAGGGAAGAACATTAAACTGCAGGTAACTAACCACTCCGTGAGAACATTAGTCATCTTACTTCCTAGGAATGCAGCTTAGGTGTATGTTTTCAGTTCACGTGCCTGTTAGTAAAGCCAAATAGAGTCTAATCCATGAAGGTGATTGAGTAAATTCAAACAGAAAAGAGGTAAAGGGAAGGTAAGAATTAGTTGAATGTAGAATATTATGTGGTTGCTAGGAATGTGTTTAGTTGGTCAGTAAAATAAAGCAGGGTTTAGCTTGCATTTCTTTCTACGAAGGAAAGTGAATCATGACTTCTGGGTAAAATCAGCTTGTTAAATATATCCAAATGCTTTTGCTCCCTTCTGAATTCCTGCTAAAAGGATTCTAAGGGGGTCTTTTTTTTAAAAGAGCTTATATGTCCACTAGAAGGCAGAGAAAAGGAAGGGAAACAGCAACAATGCAATTTTGGAACAAGTAAAGCAAATGTCTGTATGGCAGACAACTTACAGGAACTAAGAAAAATGAGTTTCTCAATAATGGGGAAAACTGAGACCCAATCAAAGATATAGTGTCACTTCCCAGAAGACTTTGAAATTGGTAGTAACATCCACCTTTGGAAGAGGGAGAAAAGGAATTTGGAAGAAAGGGGTGAAATACGATAGATGAATGAATGTATGTGAAATAGATATACTGATTATTTCTTCAACTCATCTAAGAGTTGATTTGGGCTTTGTACTTACAGAGAATAAGAGACAAGGTTTCTAACTGGGAATATTGATATCAAGGTTGTGTGGAAGTAGTCTAATCTCAGTGATGCTCAGTCAGAATGCCCTAAATTTCCAATAATCTATTTGGTTCCCCAATTCAGATATGAGCAGACTGTCAGACATAGGAAGAAAGTTCTCCACATGAAAAAATTGGGGGGAAAAGAAAATTACTTATTAATATTTATGAAAGAAACAAGATTTCTATCACTTAACAAGGAAATAGGGTATTGCCTTTAAAAAAATGTGGGGGAATATTCAGAGAAGAAAAAATGCTGTTGAAATTAAAATATAAAAATATGATGGTGAAAGTGAAACTCAGTAATTGTTATTATCTCCCTAAAAGTATTCAAAAAAGGCAAAAAAGGGAGCATAGAGGGGAAAACCCATAAAATTAAAATAGAAATAATAAAGAGCACAGAAGGGAGGAAATTGTCAATGTGTAACTCTAGAACTGAAGGGCTTATATTTCCATTTTAACAGCCTCACTGGGTATCAGGTACAGTGGGTGTAATTAGAGGCACATCTAAACATATCCTTATGAAATTTTAGAACCTTGGAGTGAAGCAAAGAATACCAGAAGTTTCCACAAAGGAGGAAATCTTGAAAGCTTAACACTTAAAATGACTTAAGACTTTTATCAACAGAAACCCTGAGAGTCAGAAGACAACGGAGAAAATTATTTGCAAGTTGGAATTTTATAACAAAATGTCAAATCTGGTGTAAGAGTAGAAAATAATGACATTTTTAGATTTGCAAAATTTTCCAAAGTGTACTATTCAATACTCTTTCTCAGAAAGATACTGGAAATGGTGCTCCACCAAAACACAGGAGTAAGGTATTAGGTATAGGAAACAGGGGGAGAGTGGGTATGGAGGGAGGGAGAGAGAGATATGGAGATCCTCAAATTGATAGTTTGGGGAATCCTGGATTTATAGCTCTATGCCAGGTACATGGGGACAATCAGAACAGATAGGAGCAGGTCAGAAACTCAAGGGGAGATTTCTAAAGAAAGATCAGATACATCTTCTGTGGAGACTTTGGCAGAGAGACATTGGATTAGTTTTGAACTAATTGATGGTAAATTCTTAGAAAAGTAGGCAAAGAAACATTAAGCAAATGAAAAAATCAATCTAAGGAAAAATAAAAAGTAGTACAGGCAAAGAAATGTTTTACTCTTGACATTACTGTATCATGAAACCTATTTATTATTTCAAATCTAGTAATAGTGAACTTATTGGTTTTACATGATAACCAAGGCAAAATAGTAAAACTGTTTCAATTCAGGCTGGTATGTTTAAATCCTAAGCTATGTAAATGTATCTGAAAAATTAAAAGATTCAATTGTTTTCTCCCTTTAGATGTTGACATGCTTATACTACGTGCTTTTATTAAATAGTAGAAAATAGAAGAAATGATATCACTCAATTTAAAAAAATTAAGTAGAAAATAAAAGAAGCAATATCGCCAGTTTTTGAGTATATTGTCAAGATGAATGTGAATTAATAGAATCCCATTTTCTTTTTGCTCCCCATTTATTTTTAGTGGTGGGCATGTTAAGCTTGAAGAAGATGTAGATCTTGGCTATGTGGAGGATGGGACACCCTGTGGTCCTCAAATGATGTGCTTGGAACACAGGTGTCTTCCTGTGGCTTCCTTCAACTTTAGTACTTGCTTAAGTGGTAAAGAAGGCACTGTTTGTTCAGGAAATGGAGTAAGTATTCAGCATCTTTGCCATGGGGAACTATTCATTTCTTTTACATCGCAGAAATAGACATGATCGTAAAATGCTTTTTCCAAAATTATGGAAACATGATTATCCATGTTTGTAGTTGGTATATGAACACGCATTTGATCATAGGCATTTGAATAATTTTTATTGTGTACTCTGAGAGAGTTTGGGAATAAGAAAGAGGATAAACTTCCTAACCAAGTTCTTATATCTTCTTTCTCATGTTAATGGGATTTCATATAGTATAATGCCAATTTTTTTTGTACAAGTGAACTAGGAAATAAATTTTAACAAACTGGAATAGGATTTTTTTTTAAAAAAAGAAGAAGAAAAAGGAGAGACTATGGCCACAATATTTAAGTACTGGTGTGATCTGGGGATTTACCTATCAGAACAGACCATAAATAACTGCTGTGGCTACCACTGTTAGTACCAACTGAGGAACTATAAAAGAATAGGGAAACGTTTCTCATAGATAGAGAGCAAGAATGGTGTTTAAAAGACTTTATTTTGTTCTTTCAGTTATTACCAGATAATATAGCTCCTATGTAAATAAGTTTATAAGTTAAGTATTTGCCCTCTATTAGTACCAAATTTCTATGCTAACAAAAATTTTGGTTCTTTGTCTTTTAGCATGTGATATGATTTTCTTTTTATTCTTGTTCTCAGTTCTTTGCTTGAATTGATTGTATTATCTAGGTGAGGGAAAGATTATGTTTTGTAATTTTAAGTCTTCAGTCTTGGTATTACATGTAATATTCCTGAGAGAGATGCCAAGAATTTTCTTAGGGAAGTAATGTAATCATCACTCTTTGACAAAGGATAGGAATTCCTTTGGCACATTAGAAAGGGAAGACACATAGTAAGTAGTTCTGCTGCTATAAGGGGATCTGTTAAATCCTCTTTCCTTAATTATAAACAGGATTTTAGAGAAAAATACTTTTTGGAGGGGACAATGGAAAAATAATGGAATTATTTTTGATTATGCAAAATAAATTTTCATATCTTCTTTATCTTAAAATTTGGGATACAAAATGCAGAGACCAAACAGTTCTATTAACCACTGGTTTAATGAATTTTAGTAAAAGAGTGACAGACACAAATAAATCAGATGGTAAATAACATCCACATAATTTACAACAATTATGCATAATACAGAAGTGATATATCCCAGATAACTTTAACTTAGAGTAATTCCACTCTCTATGACAAAAATTAAAATGGAGTATAGACAATATTTTTATGTACTATACATCTTATAATTGTGTATGTGGGCTTGCAATCAGATGGTTTAGAATCCCAGCTCTGCTTCTTACTAGCTGGGTAACATTGGGTAAACGATATAGCTTCTTTGTGGCTCGATTTCTTCCTCTATAAAATGGGAATGATAATGGTTCCTACTGTATAGGATTGTTGTGAAGAACAGTGAATTAATACTTGTAAGGAACTTAAAACAGTGCCCAGGACATGGTAAGTACTCAATGGGTGTCAGCTGTGCCATTTATTATAATCACTGTACACTGGTATCGCTGTCTATTCTTGTCACTGTATCACTGGTACTGTCATATGATATGGAAACTGATGCTTAGAGATCCAGGTGACCTGGTTAAGGACCCTTGGTAAGACAGTAGTGAAACGGGGACTTGGGTCCAGCCTTTTGACTTTAAGCCTAAATTTTTTTTATTCCTGCATAATTATTAATCTTAGTCACATGTAGATGTGGATGTATGTTGTCTTCTGCAACATTAGATTGGATAAGGCAGAAATACCTGTGCAGTGAAACCTGCCTCTCAGTTAAACCTACTTAGTTCTTTCCTTCTTCTCAATACATCCAGTTGATTTGAATAATAGAATCTAAGTGTAGATTCTCTTTCTGAGATGGATAAATGAAGAGATTATTTTCCTATGATTTAGTGGTTGCTGTCATTTTTATGTGAATCTTTCTACTTTGTGAGAGTTCTTAGTTCCCATGGGCCTGCGGCAGCTGGCTTCTATAATTTGGGTTGAGCTGACAGGGTTATAACCTTGTGAAGCTTTATTCTCAGACCACTGCAAAATAAATACCAGGACTTCTTGCTTCTTTGTGGTCTTTTCATTATCTCATTCTGCTTCCTAAAAAGTTAATAATAAAATTTTGGCATAAAGAACCTTTTATGGAAGAAAAGCAAGACTTCATATTGGATAAATAACAAATAGTTGTATTTTTGCTTAGTTTTTAAATTTCTCTCATAACAAGTTAATAAAAGTCAAAATAGGAATTTCATTGACTTTTTTTGGACGTAAGATTAAGTTTTCTGCTGACATTTAAAAATTATGCCCTTTGGGCCAGCTGTTAGTCTAAGTGAGAAATAAAATAATTATTAGTAGGAAAAAAGTATTAATAATTTTTCAGTGTCATCATATTCTCAGCATATTATTATCAGAAGTTAATTAGAGTTTATTTTTCATGCCTTTGTACCAGAGAGTTGATACTTACTCTAGCTTGATTTTGGATTTCAGGTGTGCAGTAACGACCTGAAGTGTGTCTGTGATACGCTCTGGACAGGTGCAGACTGCAGCACTTTGTTACTTCACAATGAAGGTCCAAAGACTAGCAACGGTAGATATTTAATTTGGTGTCATCATGTCATCTTTTTGCACAAGTAAATAGAGAACTTCCCTTTGGTCATTTTTATCTAAGTTATTTTTTCTTTTTTAAACTTTATTTTTATTTGTTCATTTTTATGTGGTGCTGAGGATTGAACCCAGGGCCTCATATGTGCTAGGCAAGCGCTCTACCACTGAGCTACAACCCCAGCCCTATTTAAGTTATTTTATGATAACTCAAAATAAATTATATATACATAATAATGAATTATACTATACAAGTGGGGTCCACCTTATGAAACTAATCATTTTTATCAAATTATAATTATTTACATGTTGAGTATTACCTTGTTTAATGACTTAGCCTTAACATGTCCTACTTCAGAGAAATTTTTCAAGTATTCCACTTAACTGAGGCTGTCAACAAACCCTAGCATTTCTTTTAAATGAAGAAAATACTTATAGTTTAAGGGGAGAATTTTATTTTATTTTTTTATCTATTTTGGTACCAGGGATTAAACCCAGAGGCACCTAACCACTGAGTCACATCATCAGCCCTTTTATTTATTTATTTATTTATTTTGAGACAGGGTCTAGGCTAAGTTATTCAGGGCCCTTTTAAGTTGCTTAGGATGTTCTCGAACTTGTGATCCTCCTGCCTCAGACTGCCAGGTCATTGGGATTACATGTGTGCACCACTGTGCCTGGCAAAGGGAGAATTTTATATGTACACACTTTATAAATAAGAAAAAGAAAAATTAAGAATTGATTTTTAAAATTTCATTTTTAATATTGTTATAAAATCTCACCAACCTTTAACTACACTTCTTGAACCTGAACTAGAAGTATACGTTGGCCAAGTTTCCTGAAAGTGGTTTTTGGATCAGAAACAACAGGGAGGCACATTTCTTAAAGCTGGGGTTGCTTGGGTGGAGAAGTGGAAATTAAATGCAGATAGTTGTAAGAACTCATACCTTAAAGGTAAATGTCTTCTTTTAAACCATTTTATTGCATTCTTTTGCATAAAATAATGCTCAAATCCTGAAGTCCATTTGCCTCCAAAGGATGAGAAACTTAAGAAATGTATTACTTCTAGTCATCTAGACAGATTGGAAATGTTAGCTAGTGTGACTTTAACAAAGAAAGTCACAGAATGATTAAGATTTTAGGATCCTCAGACTTATCAGCAGTAAGTGGTAGTGTGGAGCTTGTTTCCATAGTTAATGCAGAGGTGAGGATATTTATAAGTACATGGGTTTAAGTGACTTACCAAAAGACATACCATTACTTAGAAATAATCAAGACTAGCATCTAAGTTTATTTGTCCCTATTAAAACCCTTCATGAAAAGGAAGTGAGGACAGACATGCAAGGTCTTGGAATAAGAAAATCCCAGTAACCCAGAAGATGCACTGGCATCTGCATCCTCCCCTCTTATAGGGGACCAGTGCAGGTTGGAGCTGTCCGCTCTCCTCTGATGCCCTAGCATTGCTGTCCTGCATGACTCCTGAGGGCTCCCAGACTGGGAGACTGCTATTTTCTGCCATGGGAAATTGAAATCTCCAATTACCCTTGATCACTAACCTTTGCTGTCTAGAAGGATGTCTCAGGAACAGACAAGGAAAGGTCTAAGCTGCTGTGGATGAAAGCCCTGCATACAATTAAACAAGGTATAAATCATAATTAGCAGTGTGGGAGCCAGGCCTTGGATGGGCCTTCTCTGCCTTTAGTCCTTTACGTGGACTTACCGACTATGGGTTGGATTCACTGCCATTATCCCTTAGGGATCACATCTCAACCTGCCTGTTGATGGGTGCTGACAATGCCATCGCCCAGTCCTGAGTTTTGTCTGCCCTGTATTCTTCTCCCCTTTCCCTCTGCCCTCCTGGTGCCACCTCCCTCTTGTGCCACAATGACACCAATATCCCCTCACTAGACCATTTTTCCCTTTGGGTTTTTCTACCCTAGGATGCCACAGCCAATGTTGTCCAATTGGGAGTGACAAGCCAGTGCTTCTATCATCTGCACCCCTGAGTACTGATCATAGAAACCTGTAGATGTATTTTCTCCCTTAAGAAGCTTATATTGACTTTGAGAGACAAAATATCACACACATAACTTAGAGCAGCAAGGGTCTTGCATTAATTGTCAAAATGGAGTAATTTAAGTAATAACATTTCTAGAATTTCAGAGAAAGAAATAAGGGTCAAAAGGAACACTATAAGGGATGACAGTCAGCGTCTCGTTGGGGGGTTCTTCTTCCTGCTGAGGAGGGTGTAAGCCACCTGAGAAATTAAAGTGTAGAATAATTAGTGAAGAACAAAAGACAAAGAGTCAGAAACACATTTTCAAAAGCAGAGCCCTGATAGGTTTAGTTCACATGGGAGCTGGAACTAGACAAGGCAAAATGGCTCCAGTGGTTTATTAAGGGGGTACATCAAAGGCAGGGATAAGGTTTCAAGGGTGGAATCTTGCTTTGTGATGTCTTGCAGTCAGCAGGTTGATTGGCATCTTGGCTGGTCACACCCATCTCAGGTGTTGTGTGGGACATGGCAGAGCAGAATAGGAATTCACAGTGTCTCTGGGCAGTCTTACATAGAGGAAATGACCACTGGAAATTCCCAGACATCAGCTGTTCCTATTCAATGGGCTTCGATGCACGGTAGCCCACACATAGCACATGGATGGCTCCCTACAGAACAGATTTCTTAAAATGCCTTCCTAAAGGGTACTTTCTTAGTGTCATTCTTCTTCCATCTTTTAGTTTAATGACATAAGGTTTCCCAGAAAAATACATGGGAAGTACAACTGTGCAAAATGCACTTGGGCAAGAATTAAAAAGGAGTGTAAATTCGTTTTAAAAGAATTGATATGGCTTGCTGACTTATGGTTGATTTTTCTTTCCTTTGAAAATCTTACTTTTTTTAACAAATAGTGTTCTTAATGTGATGATTACAAATCTGAAGAATGAAGTTCTGAAGGAATTTTATCTCAATGATGTTCTTTCTTTTTTTTTTTTTCCATCCAGGTGTTGCTGGCATCAATATCATAATAGGCATAATTGCTGGCACCATTTTAATGCTGGCCCTCATATTAGGAATAACTGCCTGGGGTTATAAGTAAGTGAAATGACTCAGTATTAGTACTATAAGACATACTTTGAAACACATTGATTAAATGAAAACATCTAGAAAGTTTTATCTTATTGGATAAATACGCTTGCATTGAAAAAACAGTCTTGCTCAACAATCAATGATAACCTTTGGCATAGTTAGAGGTAATAATAATTTTAGCAGTTTTTAGATTTTGAGACAATTCCCTTCTGTTCTGAAAGTACTGAATATTTTTTTTCAAAATCACTGAAGTGAGTTAAAATCAACTTAAATTGTGTCTAATACAAAGGCTAGGTTTCTTTGCTTTTTAATGACAAAGTTTCCTTCAGCATGAATTGAACTTGGGTCAAAAAAAATGGGATTAGAATATTTGGAATTTTAAAGTTATGCCATATTTTTAATAGATTCATCTTTGTTCTGTGGGTTGATATATATCAAACTTTCAATACCTTGCCCACAGAAAGCATTATGTAATTGCTATAATTATTATCACTTAACATGGAGATGTGTAATCAAATTAAAGGAAACACATTTGAAAGACTATATGGCAATTGCTTGTAAGCTCTAAACCTTCAAAGAGTATCTTTGAAAAGGGAGCACAGTTACTTTACAGCCAGGATAAATGTTGTATGCAGCAGGCATTAAAGACAGAAAGACTCTCATAGAAGACTGTATTAACAAATTGCCCAGACAGCATACTAGAGTGTAGCAGAGTGTAGCAGGGATGACATAGTGAAGGAGCACACAGCAGAGGAGTAAGCTCTGCCCTGATTAAATCTGCATCACTTATCTCCATACCAGTTCATAGCAGATGCTTATGAGCCTTTTTTATGTGCAGGTCATTTGGTATATTGCACATTTACATTTGCACACTCTAACTTCAGCAAAACATTTTAAGTTTTAAAAATCATATGTCTGAAAAGAAAGCTTTTCATCATATGACATCCCCTTACAACTGCAGGTGGGTAAGCTGCACCTTAGGTCACACTGTTTCCTCTACCTCCCTGATGCAGGACTTGCAAAGTAATTGCCATCACAAGCATTGCTGTCTTGAAGCAGCTCAGTGATTTCATTTGGTCACACGAAAATAGAAAGGATAATTGATAGCTCTGGAGGGTGTGATTTTTCCGCCACCTACTGATGCATGTGGATATTTCATTTTTCCAATCTTGGTAGAACTTCCTGTTCAGAAAACATGAAACTTTTAACACTTTCCTTTTGCTTATAAAATTACCTGTGTCTGTTTATTGAAATAACCTGCTTTCTATTTGTTTCATTTGGGATTTTACTCTTTAAAATACACTTCTGAATACATACATTTTGCAGGTTGATTAAGGAAAAAGATAAATATTGTTCATATTACAGTATTCTCCTCATAAGTAATTTGAACCTAAATGATTAACACTTTAATGTTTCTAAACTTATTTGAATACATTTAGAAATAGAATGAGAATTTAGAAATTTTAATAGAGGAATTAAACTAATAAGTGATATTTCATATATTCTCTTTGAAAATCAAAAGCAGATTTAAGGTCTGGGAACTCATTTTTTCATTTTTTAGGTCTGCTTGTTAAACTTTCCACTCTTTCTTGAAGCCCTGGGTGGGGAATAGCAGGAATAGGAAATGAGAAATCCTCATCTAGAACTGTATGGCTCAAATAATCAGCTTGAGGGAATAAAAAGCAAAACATGCTGAATGGAAAGATACCAGGCTTATATCCCCCCATCCCAAAGTCTTCAAAATTGAAACTAATAACAAATGGGCACTTTTACCCTCCTGTGCCTGTTATGATCCTGATAATGTGGGTGGAGGTGCCAGGAAGGACATTCACATTTAGACATTGTCCTTGATCTTAGAGGAAGGAATCCCAAATAATTCAGTCTTCCATATATTCTAATTATGTCAAGAGAGAAAGTCAACAACTCTTGAAACTCACTGGTATTGCACTGTTACACCCTTCAGAACAATTTTTTAAGATCAGTTTATTTTATCATATGGCAAATAAACCTAAGTTTATTTTAGTATTTGGTCAAATAAAAAAGAGACTAAAATTGAGCAGGTATTTCCAACGTGATTCTTGAGTGAATAAGTAGTAATAACTACAAAGGTCATCCATAACAGCTGTGAATTAACTCACTCATTTGTCACACATGATGAAATCAAATGTTCTGGTGTGTATTTATGTTCTCCTATTTGAAATTCTTAGGAACAGCTATAGTTGGGGGTTTGTATTCTAACAGGAATAAATTATGATTATTATTTCTATGAAAATATAATTAATTTTTGCAAGTCATCAACTGGATTCATCAACTTTATTATTTAAATCAACATATGTGTCTGAAATCCTGTATTTAAAATAGGATTAGAATTTTACTAATCATTAGAATATTATTAATACTCAGTGTAGTACAATTGATGTTGTAGAAAGTTACTCTTTAAAGATTCTTTATTTGTTTAAAAATGACAGATTATCTGACAAAAATGTCACCAGTCTATTGGTGTGATCTTTTCTAATGATAAAGTGGAATTTTTATGTGTATTCCCCATTTTAACTCTGCAATTCAGAATCTTCTAGCAAAGTCCTTTCAATGAATGCCAGAGCTTTTATGTTGAGTGCTCTGTTTAATGTGCTTTCATAGGTAACTAATTCTTGTGTTTTTCCCCTCTCTCTTCTTGTTCATGAAAAGAAACTATCGAGAACAGAGGTATGTGATTAGATTAATCTGAACATGTAACTGAAAGGTTTAACCCCTGATTCATATCACTGGAATTCATACATGCAATTATAAATCAAGTTCACTTTATTTTTATTCTACATTGATCTTGATTTTTCATGATATTGAAATAGTTTTAATTGTGTTATTTTTATCATTATATATGTACAGAAATTGAATTTTTCCATCAAAAACAGACTTCCTTCATGTTAAGTTGTCATGTTTGTTTACATTAGTTTATTGACTTTTCTTTATGTTTATAACACTCTTATTGCCTAATACTATCTGAGGAAATTTATTTTTCTTTGTTACTGTTGTTATATTAATAACTTTCATTCATAAGTGACAATTTATTTGGCTACACTGTAGCTACCAGGGGAATGTTCTGGCACTTGGTGAAAATGTTATTTGTGCATGAGAAAAAAAAAATTTACTCTGATTAGGTGATCACACAGGTAGTTAAAGAAGGAATTTGCATAGTTGGAATCTCTGATTGTCTCCTGTACTTTTTTTATTAAATAAAAATTCCCACAGAGAAAATTATTCAACATAACTTTATAATCCATCTTTGGCAACCATATAAAAAGACATACAAAGAAATATTGTTGTTCTGTAAGAATTGTTAATTTTATATAAATTACCACATAGTGCTGGGGCATACCATTCACTTTTCACATTTAAAAAGTTACTAATACTATTAATTATGGATATAAAAAATTAAAATGTCCTGGAAATGAATAACTCAGACCAGGTCTTGTGTATAGTACAGTATTTAGTTCTGCATTCAGGGTATTTGTGCAAATTGCTACCTACTTATCTTTTTCTGTTGTTCTATTACTTGCCTGAGGCAGGTTAAGAATAAGATGTAATAAATGTGGTGATACTTTTCCAGGCTCTAACCACAACTTTCATTTTTTCACAAATTGAAAAATTAAACTTTATTTTTCTGTATGTTTCTGTCTAAATCTAAAACCCCTGAAGACTTTAGCCATAAATATCTGTAATTCTAAGGTATCCGCAAGGTACCAGTTAGCATAGGTTTAGGAAATATTGACCTTGCCCTGGAGTAACTAACACATCATTAATAAAAAATGTGAAACTGAGACAAAATTGACTAAATTTTGGAAACAAGTAGATTTCTTTGTGACTTGTTTTAAACTCTTTTAAAAAATATTTTTAGTTGTAGATGGACACAATACCTTTATTTTATTTATTTTATGTGGTGCTAAGGATCAAACCCAGTGCCTCACATGTGCTAGGCAAATGCTCTGACATTGAGCTACAGCTCTAGTCCCCTATTTTGAACTCTTGTGTCTATAAGCACTTGAGTAGAGAAAGAGCCATTTAGGCTTTTAATTGGGTAGAAATTGATTTAGTCATATTAGAAATCTAAGGTTGATAGCTTTCTTCAGTGGAAGACAGACTTTGGTTGATGTAACAGAGAATTTATGTTTGAGCTCCATTTCCATAGGAACTAAAGCAATAATGTAATTTAATACTGCTGAATATATAAAAAAGAAAGCAAAATGACTCAATTATGTAGCATAAGCAAAGCCAAGAGTACTCTTAGGTTTTGTCCCTAAGAATGCTATCCAGAATAAGGAAATTGCCCACACTTTACAAAAATGCTTTGTTTAAAACTATGCACCATTTTTTTATTCTAACTCATCATATGCATGGATACAGTTTAAAGCATTTTCACACTATGAATCTCCTGTATTTGACTAATAAGTTTTCACATCTTCTAGTGTTACTAAGTCATCATTTCATTGATATGACTACTCCTTTGGAATCTAGTACATGTTTTGAAAGTTGTCACATCTACAGTGGGTATTTGTTTTATATATTTGATATATTTCACCAAAAGCTTTTTTTTTTCGTCGTTGTCTATAGCTAATGAATGTTAGACTTGTACAATAATTCTCAAAATGGAGAATAGCAGTGATTGGACTTAAACCAGGAAGTTATGAATATATAGGTATCTTTTGAAGGATTTTTCTTTCTGAAGATATGTTAGGTTTTTGTTTGTTTGTTTGTTTGTTTTTCAAGTGCCAGGGATTGAACTCAGGGCCTCATACATGCTGGGCAAGTGCTGTACCATGGAGGTACGCTTCTAGCCCTGACAGTACATGTAATGATGGAGAAGGGGTCAGGCCAACAGAACAAGTATGCATTAGGAAATTTTTAATCTTGTACAATTATTTATAGTCAAATAAATATCTGTGAGTTCCAAAGGATGACAAGAAGTAGAATTAAGAATTTTGGGTTGTCATTGTCTTAAATTAGGTTTTTCCTTGGAGTTCTGTGGTGGGAGGAGCAGTTGACAAGGAATTAGGAATCTAGTATGAGATGTGGAGAAGTCACAAGTTTCCTCAACTCTATAATCAAAAAGAGTTCTTTGTAATCTTTAAAGCATTATGGTAAAGGGAAGTTATTTGTATGTGGTTTCTAAAGACTTTGTGTTTCTCTGATCTTCAAATAAAAGAGGTGGATGTTGTTCTCAAAGAGGAATGTAGCTATCCTCAATCTGAATGAGGCCCACCCCTACCAGCTGAGCTGGTAAAGGGGTTGGTGAACATGAAGGCTTGCTTTGACACCAAAAGCAAGATCTAATAAGTATGTAGTATCTCACCATTTTCTTATAAAAAATGTCAGATGATGCACAACTTTCAAGACAGGCAAGTAATTCTGTAATTGAATGTGACAACCTGATAATTTTCCCTCCTGAGGATGTGTCCTCAAGGTTTTAAGTATATTAAGGATTGTGTTGTCTGTTTACTTGCAAGTTAACAAAGAGATGAGAAGCAAACCTATTTTCTTTCTTTTTGTTCACAAATTGCTTACTTAAAAAATAGAAGCCCTGTTCTGGGACCAGTGGAGGCCGAACCCCACACATGTACAATCAGTTGAAACCTGTCAGTGTCACCTTATGAAGCATAGATCCATGGAACCAAGGAGCCATGCAGAAGCTCCTTTATCCTTTTTCTTTAAATTTCCAGGAAAAAAAAAAAAAAACTCCACACTTTTCACTTGATGTTATTATTTGTATCATAGTATAATAGCTTTAGGATTTAGCAGTTGTGACAAGAATTCTAAGTAGGTTTTAGTTTTCAGGCATGTTTGCAAACAGAGTAAGAAATAGTAACTGAACTTAGATTTATAAAACATCCCTATTCAGCTGAAATCCTTTTCTTGTCTGAAATGAACATACATCACTATGATTAATGAAAAATAGAATATAATAAATCATCTTTCTGACCTATGGTTTAATCTTAAGCAGTCTACTCTTTTCCACCCCCATTTCTTTCTACTTTTTTTTTCTTTTTCTCTCTCATGTTTTAGGTACTTTGTTTTCTGCTTGTGGACTTCCTATCTTTTTTCCAAACCTTTCTTGGTTTCTTTTAATATTATTATTATTATTTCAATGATATTTATACATCTGTTAATATACTATTTTAGGAAATATTGGTATACCTTGAACAATATTTCTTAAAATAGTAAATTAACAATTTCAGTAAGAGAAAGATTAATATTAAGACTTATTTAAACTTTTTTCTTTCATGTTCAGTAAGCATAAGTATTGTCAAAATTAATATTAAAGATCAATGGATGCTTTTAGGAAAGAACAGACTTCTCTTATAACAGGATCAACAATTTGCTTAAAGACTTTTGGGGTGATCCCAGAAATCTCTTTGAATATTTAAATTTATAATGCTCACATAGCTAGATGATTTATGAATATAAACATGTTATCTTCTGAAATAGAATAAGAACAAAAAAACAATAACAATGAATACTGTAGTCCTAGAAATAAATAATAATTAACAGTTTGTATGCATCAGCTCCTCCAAAGTCATTAAGTTATAGGGATTGTTCCTTGTGTTAGAGAATAGGATTACCTTCAAAGAATGTTATCGAATGAGATGCATCAGTTCAAAGCACAAATTGGTATGAAAATGTGTAGAGAGGAAAAAAAGACAATCTGTAATTAATGTAGGAAGGGATGACCTTTGAGGAAAAAGAACTTAATTACATAGTATTCATTTTGGTTATTGTTTACCAAAAATCATGTACATGTCTAAAATGTTTGCATATAATATGAGAAATATGAGGTGATTTTTCCTGTTATAAAACCACTAGCCAGGCCATCTACCAAGGTAATCACTTTCAAATTCAGATTTGAGGGAACATGAAAAACACTCAAAATGTAGGAAGAAATCTGTAAAAATTATTAATAAAGAATTAGGGGGAAAAGTTCAGTTTAAAATTTTTAAGGGCATTATTTAATTGATTTTTTATGATGTTTCATAACAAATGATGCAAGATTATTTATTGATCATGGGGGCCTAATATTCTCTACTTCCTCTAAAACAAGAAGAAATAGTTTTTTTAAAATGCATAATGAATATTTTTTAAAGATAAATTTATGGACAGTGAAGAATATTAAATATTCTCAAGAGTTTTTTTTTTTTTTTAAATTCAAAACCTACCACAGAAAAAAGTATGAAAACAAGTTGCATCCATTCCTTGTGAAATTTTCAGGAGAATGTGGAAAATTAGTTTCTGTATGTTGGAGACTTTATAGGGAACATAGATAAGAATCAAATCTTGCTGGATTGTTAAAGGAGGTGATGCCCCAGAAGTACATTAAATTGAAACTCCCTTTCAACTCCTTGACGGAAGCCCATAGCTTTTAACTTTACCATTTAGGATGTTTGTGCACTGTGTAAAAAGTGACCGTGACCACAGAGAAGTTACCTTGAAGAGGTGGTAAAACATTCTCGGTCTAAGACAAAACAGAACTGGGTTCCAATGTGGGAGGTAGTCCATCTGCACCTGCAGTATCAGAATGCCAGGGTAAATACCTGAAAGCCAAAAATCTGTGAAGAAAAGGTCATTTGGGGAAAGAAAGTAAAAAGAAAGGTTCGGTGTGGTTCTGAGCTTGTTTTTGTTTAATTTGAATTTGTTGAGGCACATCTCATTGCCTTCCTAAGATCATCATTAAAGGTAATAGGGACAGAAGGACTATATTGGCCATCAATATTGTTATTGGACATATGATGCTGACATTCTGTAGTAATCTTTTTAACATGCTTATATAATACAATAGGGAAGTTTCTTCCTTGAGACAAAATATGGAACTCTGATTTTATTAAGGGCATTTTGTTTTTCAAGTATTGAAGGAGTATGTTCCTAATGTGGGATAAAACAGAAAATATGAATAGAGATCAAAGATCTCTTACATAGGAAAATATATTGTTTGTTGTTACTATGAACACTATAAGTTTCAAGGCTTTTATATTTTCCCTATAAAATCAATTTTTCATAATAACCAGGAAAAAGAAAGGGTAACTGTCATGAGCTGAAGTCACTTATAGAATAAAAAAAATATATTTTGGAGAAAACTGAAAAAATTATGGGTAGAATCAATATTATAAACTAGTTAGTGAGAATTCCTTTTTTAAGTTAAAATATAGAGAAGTAGCTTAAATCATACAAGTTAAAGTACTTACTTTTTTATTTCCATTGAAAACTTTTTGAGACTTGTAGAGATGTGTTCACATAGCATTGACATAATATGACATGGGATGTACAGTCATCAGAAAACAAATAATGAAATATTTTAAATATTTACAACAATGTGGGAAATCAATATAGACAAGCAGACATCTGAAAGTGGCATTTTGGGGTTGAAATTTAGCATCAGTAAGTAACCAAGCTTATCATAGTAACTAAGGAGAAACCAAACATGAAAAGGGAATTAGCAAATTTGTGCTATTGTTGGAGATTTATTTATTTAAGTGTAGCTTTGTTTAAAATTCTTAATCCAGTGCTAGTTTGTGCCACCTTCAGTGATAGCGCTGGATGAACTGAGTCAGGTTTGGGTGCAAGTTGTCTATTTGGGCAACACGCATTGGCAGGTGATCGGATTGGCACGGTGAGAGGGTTGACTGTGGGGGGCGGTGGGGCTATATAAAGTTTCTATCTTGTTCACTTAGGAGAAGTAATAAAAATCTGTACCAATTTTAGTTTTTTCAAAGAGAGATGAGTGGGTTAATACCTCTGCAGATTAAATAGCTGTTCTTGTTGTTCTCCTACCACAGTGGAATTGGAGGACTGCCACCCACTGTCCTCCTACAAATGTCCTTCCATAGTCTCCACAGAAATTCAGTTAACTGTTCAACCCTTTCTTCCTCTATTAAATGATCTTCCTTCGCATATTCAAGTGTGCAATTATAAAATTACCTTTTTGATTCAACTTTGAATCTTCTTTTAATTTTTTTCCTTTTTTTTTTTTATAAATTTTAAATGAACAATGGAGCTCCACATGGAACATTAAACTCTAATGAGAATTTATCTGGATTCAATTATAAAATAGCTTAGAAATTAATCAATTCCTTTAAAATTAAATCAAGATTACGTTCATTTTGTTATGTTTAGAAATCATGAATAGTTTATTCATTATGGTGCCAAAAAAACCCCTCAAAACCCAATTGCTTTGTCTGGGTAAGAACTGTTCTATGTGTGCTTCAACATCAATTTTTTTTTAAAATTGATACTCAGCTAACATCTCTGAGTATAATGAAGTTACAGCGAAAAAACAAACAAACAAACAAAAACTCATCCTCCCTTGTTTTCCCTCTCAAAGCAACGCTTTATTCATCCAACCTATAAAGACTTCAGTGATTGCATTTCTGACCTCAACAGTTAGAATGACTTTAATTTGTTACATTTATTAATAATCTTATGTGTTGTTATAGATTTGATTCATGTAGATCATTATCCCTACCTCTCTTTTTCCTAAAATAAGATTTGTATATGTCTGTGTTCATGTGTGTGTCTTGTTTTCTGACTCTGAAATGTTTATTATGCCTTAGACAGTTACCCCAGGGAGATTATGTAAAAAAGCCTGGAGATGGTGACTCTTTTTATAGCGACATTCCTCCTGGAGTCAGCACAAACTCAGCATCTAGTTCTAAGAAGAGGTCTGCTTTTCTGTCGCATTTTCAGATTTCTACCTGTTCCATCACACATTATTCCATTAGTCAGAACATTTCATTATTTTGCAGCAGGTTTGATTACTTCTTCCTTCTTTCTTGAATGTTAAAAAATAGTATCCTTTGTTCTTTGATTACTCTGCTTCAAAATGCCATATGCTCAAAACCACTTGACCTACAAATCAGGCCACAAAATTGAAACAAAAACAAAATAAAATGAACAATAATTCTAAATCTGTTTGGAAACCTCAGGGTCTTTCAGTCTTGCTCTTATATAGCTTAAGAAACTATGCATAGTACTTAATAATTTTAAATGGTGAGCTTTATGTCATGTTTGGTAGTCAAAGAAAAAGGTTACTGTCATGCTTCAATAAAAGCAGTTAACATAAATTGGTAATATAAGTGCTGCATTGACTATTTTTTAATTTTATATATATCAAAGCTAAGCTCGCTGTGAAACAAAGATTGCTTCTCTGTGAATCATGTATTGGATATTATAATTTTGCCTTTTTTTGGAATGATTATTTGCAGACTTTTATAACTTACACCTTAGTTGACAAATTAATTTAAGTATGCTTAATAATTGCCTGATTTTTATAATAATAGAGGTGGGATTATCTATTATTTATGTCTTGAACTCTGATGATATATTCTTATTCTAGCATCTTAAGGTGTATGACACCATTTAAAATTCTGCATGCTTTAAAATTGCTTGAGAATAAATGTGTAGAAGAAACAAATAGTTGGAATGTTGTAGGAAGTGACACATACCACATTGAAGGAAGCTAAAATATTCTTGTAGAAGAATTTCCTTAACTAAAGAAATGGAAGTAGGGGGAAGGAAAAACGTTTTGGTAGCCCCAGTCATGACTTCGGGCACATTTGTTGCTTTGCAGTGTGAGGGTAAAACATCTAGTTTATTGAGAGGAATCTGATCTCTTCTGGTATTCTAGGGAGAGTGAATAATCTGTAAAAATTCTGCAATGGTGCTCAGTCTTTATCAACATTGATCCAGAAAGGTGAATAGAAGGAATTGGTGAATTCTATGTGGGAACTCTATGTGAAGGATAGTTTTCACTTAGATATCAGAATTCAATGCAAAAGATGAAATGCTACATTTTGACCCACAGAAGGGTGTTTTAAATTTTTTAGTGTTTTAATTTATTGAGGGATTGATGGCTAAGAAAAGAAGATGAACAAAGATCTACTTGAATTCTCTCATTATATAAGTATTTTCTTGGTCAAATGCAAAACTTTATATAACATAGAAAAAATAGAGAAATCAGTGGGTTCCAGAAGGATTTCTGTTGTCCTTTCTTACAAAATATGAGTCATTCTCTAAGAAGCAAATCATGTTGAAAAAGTTCCAACCTACAGCATTGATGTGTACCAGTTGTGCTGAGTTCCATGTTTTCACTCATCAGCAGAAGATTCCCTTTAAAGTAGATATTATTAGCAACTAACCAGAGTGACATATGAAAAATATTTTTAAGTATACTACTATTTTATCAAATACCTAAAAAAGAGCTTGAAATATTCATTTGAATTGTTAGAAATTTTTCAGTGGGTTACTATTTTTAACCAGTTAAAAATACATCCAACTGTAAGGCATTTAAGAATATGTAATTTGTCAAAATTCTTTTGTTATGTGGTACAAGGTAGGTGTATAAATTTTGCATCTTGTAGCTAATTCATTTAAAGATGGTAGGACACAATTAGCAGAAGGGCTCAATGGTACATGGGCTTTGTGAGAAAGAGTTCCATGGTAAACATCTGATTTCAGCTCAGTTATCAAACAACTAACTAAAATGTACTACACATCTTTGGAATATATTTGGGGAGAAAAATGCCAAATCCAGAAAACTAAATATTACTTTGATAAAGGTTAACTAGGTTCAGTTAAGCAAATCTTAATGTAATCTCTTGGAAGTCCATGTTCGCATAATATTGGAATGGAATCCATTGCTTTACAATTAAGAAACATCTATGGTGGGACCCCATTATAAATGCTGCTGCTGGGGTTATGTAACTGAAATACACAGCGAATTTGCCATTTGTGGTTGCTGTGTTCTGGGGAAGGTAAATTGGCTTGTATTATGTCCTGATACTTTTCATCTATAGACTATTGTAATGGGGTTCCATTGTATTTGACTTTTCTTAAATTGAATGTTGTGTATTTCTGCCTTTTTCATGAAGACTTTCATGTTCTCGTCATTCTTTCATTTCAGATTTTTTTCTTGATTTATTTTATTTGATGCACAGTATTGCTAAGAAGTTTTGCTTACTAATTTCAAAAAAGTTAATTTGCTTACATTTTTGAACAATATGTAAATATTTTCAATTTCAGGTCAAATGGGCTCTCTCATTCTTGGAGTGAAAGGATTCCAGACACAAAACATATTTCAGATATCTGTGAAAATGGGCGACCTCGAAGTAACTCTTGGCAAGGTATAAGGGTAACATTCTGAATTCATCTGTAGATCCAGCCCAAGTTTTGTATTCTATGCTCCCTGGATGTAAAGATATGTTATTTCCTGTAAGCTCTTTAGCTCTTCTCCCAACAGAGAGGAAAAATATTTGGAATGAGAGTCTAGTTTTCTATGTATGGGAAATGATGGGATTTGTTAGCACCAATGTACTAGATACATTGGGAAGGCTGTAGAGTGTGCAGCGCCCCCTGTCTTCTAGGGTGGTGCTGGTTTTGAATTATATCCATTTGAAATACTATATAATGAGTGATGGAGCAATCATTTATTATTTGGAAATCTAGCTATAAACCTTTTTTTTTCAGGTAATGTGGGTGACAACAGAAAGAAAATCAGAGGCAAAAGATTTAGACCTCGATCTAATTCAACTGAGTAAGTCTGAACCTCTAATGGAAAAAGGCACTGCAAGGTCCTGGGCAATTAGTGTCAAATGTTAATTAAGCTGATCATCAAAGAACAGTAAACCATGCTTCTGGTCTTGGTTTTGTCTTTAAATTATTTTTGCCCTTTAAAAATTAACCATGGCTTTTCTCTTTTACATAGGCATCTCCGCAACTGTGCCCATACCAATATTCACTGCTAGTCGGGGGGCTCGCCCTCACTGTGAGCCTTTCCCTCCAGTCACCTGCCATTGTGGTGTCTTGGTTCCCTTTGAAGGGAATTTTGATAACATTCCTTTCTTCTCATCACCTGGGGTCCAGCCATTTCAGAGGGTCACCCTTCCTCTCCCCAATACTCACACAGCCCTGGAAGCATTAGGGGAAAACTCCCACCAAACTAGAGCATGATGGTGCTCAGGTCTGAAACCACCGCTCCGAGGTCTTCATGGCTGCAATCTAAGCATTCTCTCAGACTAATGGAATCAGTTTCCCTTTTAAATTTTCCTGCTGAGGACATTTAAAAGGGCATTTACCTAAACTTGCACTTTAACTGAATCATTGTCACTAAATGCAACATTATTCATTTTAAATGATAGCCACAATTTTTTTTTTTTTTAGTGGAGGTGGGGTTGGGATTTATTTGAAATCTTTTATAATGAAGTAAACACCATACACTTTTTTCTTTGTTTTTTTCCACTTAAGAAAGTACAATCAAAACAAAGCTTCCTTAAACCTTTATCTCCCTTCATGGAATGAGATGCACTTTTAGTAACCTTTTGGACCCACCTTGCTACTTGGTTTTAATTACTTGTGCTTTTTAAAGCCACCTAAGTTTTTCCACTAATTTTTCACTGTAGTGGTAGTTATTATCCCCAGGATCTCTACTGCTTCTTCATGCCTTAATATTTAAAAAGTCTGAATAGCAGGTGTTTGTTAACTGCTCATCAGAAACTTATGTTAGCTTTTTCCATCGTATACCCTAGCTTTTTCAGTCCAGGAATAATAACATTGCCCTGAAATTTGGACCTTCCACCTGAATTATATTGTCTTGTAAGTGACTTATCCAAGTTTACTGGAGGATCCTTAACCTTAGAAGCAATAGACAATTTCAGATGATACCATTGCATGGTCCAGAATGGCATCATAGAACTCCATCATAAGTAACTAATCTGTTAGAGTTTATCTTATGCATTCCCAAAGCGCTTGGATGCTTTAGGGCTCATTGTGGATAAACTCTTCTTGGAATGTTATTTGATTTGTTTTGCATGAGGTCACCTGGTAAGAGCTCCTTAGCTTCTCAGTTACTTATAATAATACAGATAAAACTGTAAAGTGTTCTATAGAACTTCCTCTGTATATTACTTAGTGTTCTAACAGTATTTCCTATAACAAGGTTTCAACAACTCCCTAGTGGGGACAAAGAAAGTTCCATAGTATGTTAAAGCTATGAGTTTAGCACCCAAAGACCATTTGGTGTTTAGTAGTGTTTATACAGTATTTCCTAAAGCAATCACTAATTTTTTAAAATTTTGGGTAAAATTTGCACCCACAACATGAGATAAAAAGTATAATACTACTGATAGCATTTGAGAAATCTTGATACAAGATAAGTCAGTTATAATACTGAATAAAATGTCATAATAGAACCATAGTTAGGGAGAAATGTTAAGGATTCCTTCAGATTTTTCAGCATTTTCTGCTGTGGTTTCATGATTGATGCTAGTTAAATGGAGCCAAGTTTGTAATGCTGATCACTATTCTCATATATCTTCTTGTATGGGAATTCTCTCTCTATATATATTTATACACACATTTATATACTTCTTTAGAAATAAGGGTTCCTGGGCTGGGGATATAGCTCAGTGGTAGAGTGCTTATTTAGCATGTATAAGGACCAGGGTTTGATCCCTAACATCATAAAAAGATAAAAAGGAATCTTGATACATAGCCTCTCAAGAATAAACCTGGCAATTTTTTTGTGTTCCGTATACAACTAATCCCATTTGCTTCTGATATAGTAATGCCATTTGTGTGACCATAAGTGCAGGAGAATGACCACAGGAAAACATCTTTTGTTTTATTATTATTTTTTTTACATCAGAGGTATTTTAGGTCCATTATTTCAACATTCCCTTAAGTACCTTATCATCCCAAAAGATGATGAAAAATTGGGACAGAAATTAGAACATGCATCACAAATACATGCTGTGCTCATTAACAAAATAAAATGTCCTCATTTGTTATTTTATTTTCCCACTCAAACCTCTTGCATCTTCCTCACTGTTGTACATGATGTAACATTTTTTTTTTTGGCTTAGACTTTGTATTATATATTGTGTTTTTACAGGAGGGAGCCCCAAGCACCTGAGCCTGGGCACTCCCTCGCCCAGACAGTCCCATCCCAAGGCATAAGCCCAGGGGGCTCTGACAGCCCCCAGACAGGGAGTCTGGATCACAGGTCAGTCTCACCTGCCCCTTTACTCTGGGCTGCCACTTAGTCTCCCTCCAAGCCCCTTCCTTGGCTGAGAACAAGGTCATTTGATCTTTGGCCAAGCCCCCATGTCTGCTCAGAGGTGCTCCTGGTCCAGCCAGCAGCAGCTAAATTTCCTCTGCCCTTTCATCCTGGAGAATGTACTGAGCTCTCCTATCCCGTCTGATGCATTTTTTTTTTTTTTTTTTTTGCATGTTGCGCTACAAGCCAAGTCAAAGCACGTAGGCAGGTTTATTGCAGTTTGATAAAATCCCATCACTGCAGCCACCATGACCTAGAGATGTTAGGAAGCCCACTATGAAGGCACTTTCATGGGCAGGTCCCCAGAAGGACCAAACAATTTAGAGTTCTCTTCAGTGGCTCTGGTGACGTGATCACAGCCTTCTGAAATGCTCCTGAAACGGAGGACAGTGTCCATCAACTGCAAGACCAGCCATGTGATTGTAGCTTTCATGGAACCACCATGGTACCAGCCCTTTGAGTTTCTAAGGTTGTCAGTGAAAGGAACAAATGTCTCCTCCAGAAGTGGCCGTCTGCCTGTGGGCGACTCAGTTTGCTGTGGGGCTATGTTTCACCTGATGACAGCTGCATGGGCTTTTTCTACAGTTTTCCCCAGGCCAGAGCATTCATAAGCCTTCATCAGTGGCTGCACTTGCTTTTTGACTTTTTCTTTTGGTTCAGAGTCTCAGTGTTAATCTTTATGCAAGTTTTCATTGGCTATCTCTGCGAAAAGTGCAAGTTGGCAATGGTTGTGGCTAAAGGCAAAATTAGTGTGAGTTGCTCCTGAGTCAGGAGACCTTATCTTAGCAAAAATGGTCTTATGAATCTAAAAAAGCTGCAAAGCCCTTCTTTCAGGAGGGCATCACGATGCTCTTTTGTAGAGTACCTTGGTTATGGCTAAAAATGAAAGAAAGGGCTATGGAAGAATAACCTAATTTTTTAATGTAACTGTGGAAATTGTGATTTGGATCTAAATATATTTACAAACAGCTCAAGAACTAAATGTGGAGGAAAGAAGCAAATGTTAAAAACAAACAATGTGTTTTTTAATTTCCTCTTTTTTGTTTCCACGTAATTTAAGTTTTACAAAGCTTGGATCTTCATTGCCTATCATATCTCTAGAAGTTATTTTTTAAAAGTGAAAACCCATTCAAACCCTCAAATTCTTTCAATACTGAATTTATTAAATTTATATTATTTTACGAGGGCAAATTCTAAGGGGATGTGTTTTTGCTTGGCCCCCAGGGTAAAAATAAAAGGAAACTCTAGGCCAAAATACAACTATAGCTCTGACATTGCTGCCCTTATTGTTTGCATAATCATTCTGATACAGTAATTGCCATATCCATCAGGGAAATTCTCACTAAGGTCATCATTATTCTCTGACGGTCATTCACATAGTGTACCATCAGACATTCGGAAGGCAGCTCTGAGGGCCATTTCCTTCATGGCACCATGAACACTTCAATCTGGAATGCACTGAGGAGAAAGGAACATGTGGCCACAATTAAATTACTAAACCCAGCTTCAATATCATGGAGGCCTGTTTGGACCACACTTAAAGTACTTTGTGGGGCTCTAGGAGCAGAAGAGCCTGGGACCTTTTTGGCTCCTTACAGTGCTGACTGGGGGCGGGGGGGGGGGGGGTCCTATCTGTTGATTCCAGCTTGAGATATGCTTCAGGGACTAAGACAGTGGCCATATAAAAGCCTTCTACTCATGTTGTAATGAGAACTTTGCTCTTTTAAATTGTTTTGGGGGTTTTATATGCTCAAATGCCAGGTTAAAATTGCAGCTGCCTGAATATTTTCAAAAAGCACCTTTATTATTTGAAAACCAAGCTGCTACATGAGAGGTGGCCTGGGCAAAGCCACTTTGGAGGGGGGTGAACGGGGCTGCTGACAGTGCTGTGATTGAAATTGAGTTTCTGATTTACTTTGGGAAGCCACTGGAAAAAGCTTTCCCAGAATTGTCAAGTACGTTCTCGAATGCCCTGAGCCTGTTGTAGCTGAGATTATTCTCATGCCATTGTATAAACTGCCTCATAACCACCCAGCATCTGTCCTGGTTTATTTGCCATAGTCACTTGCATATGGAGGGTGAAGACCACTTGCTAAGCTTGTGCTGTGTATTTTCAGATTTTCTATCTTGTTCTGCTTTCTTTGTTCCTTCCATTGCTTTCTGCAGGTATTTAAATCCATGGTTCAAAAGAGACTATAATGTAGCTAAGTGGGTAGAAGATGTGAATAAAAACACTGAAGGACCGTACTTTAGGTATTTTATAAATTAATTTTATATCCTTTTCAAACTCTCCCAGCACATACAAATACTGTAGTGTGACTGGTTCTCTATCTTGTATCTCCTAATACAAGTTCCTAGAGATGGAAAAGGGTCCTTGTTTATTTGCTGCCGTTTGGAAGGGTTGCCATTTAGTGCATGTCCCTATCACCATCTTGAGCTTTTAGTAGCTTTCTCTTCATTTTACGCTGTGTAGTGTTCTATGGGCATGAAACATACTTTCCACTAATAAAGAAGCACTATTAACCTCAACAATTTAATTTCCAGAACTTAGAAGTTTCTTAATGCATTTTTTTTTCTACTTACTGCCTAAGAGGGCATAGTGCATACAAAAACTCAAGGAAAAAACACACAAAGACGCTAAACGAAATGTAGTGGATTTCACTTGAAGAAGAAACAATGATTTGATCTACCTTGAAAATCATTGAGATAATATGGACCACATGAGAGCACGTGGAATGAGCTTAGGTTTTCTTTGTTCATTTCAACCATTTGCTACCAGAGAAGGCGCGTGCTTAGAAGAGAGTTTTATGGATTCTCAAGAAAGCACCTAAGAAATTTTTTATGTAAATCAAAATGTTGTCTGACACATCAGATAGAACAGAAAGCAGAGAGGAAACATGTTCTTGACTCACAAAAGAGAAGAACATTCCTCCATTTTAGAAACTGATGAATTTATTCAACTTGTTACAGCTCTGTGTAACATTAGAGATCAGAGAAAATTTCCAAGAGCTCTTAATGGACTTTTTCTTTTTTTCTCTTTATAATATCAAAATGGTTTCCTAAAGGTAAATGTCCACTCTGTATCTGACAGATTCATGGACAATTATGTGAAGCAGAAATAGGCTCAATTACCCTCTCGTTTGAGGACAAGTTAACAATGAGCTTTCATAGTACTTTTGACCATGACTTGGGTCAGCATTGAACAGATACCAAAATATGTCTGTATATTTAACTCTCAGCACCCATGTAAGGTGGACTTTCTCTTCCAGTGTACCATTTAGTTTAGACATGTATAGTTTGAGAAAATGATTAGACCTATCTGCATTCTAATTTGATCCATAACATTTGCATATACTCCAAGGAAAGCATAACTCCTGCCTGCTCACAAAACTACGTCCTGCTTTTATACCCCATCCTGCCCTCCTGCCCCGTCCTCTGCTCGTCCCACACTTTGCCACACTGAACCTCATACACATACACTCACATTCAAACATCCCACCCTCACCTGTAGCTCCCAAGATGGCCAACGTCAGGAAGACAGGTAAGATAATTTTGAATGTTCTTGGGAATCTTGGCTCACCTGCAGTCCTATTACTTCTTCCTATTTTACTCAGGCTTGTGGGCAGATTGTAATTTGTACCAGCCATGGAACCAAAACGTAACAACTTTGGTCCTGTGTGGTTTAGGGCTTTTATTGCCAAATGGCCTTAGCATTTTGGCAGCAATAATCTATGAAATGGTACCCCGGAAGAGTTGATTCACCTCCCCTGGGTGAGCTGAGTAGTTTTTTGTGACTTTAAGAGAAGAGTTCACATTTCTTAAAATCTGCACCCAGGTCTGCCCAGAAGCTGCATGATTAAACGCAATTTGGATGGGGAAATGCTTTTGCACCCCCGGTTGCACGTGCAAAGCCGCAAGGGCAAGTTTAGAGGGTTCCTTTATCTCCTCTTTAATATGAGATGTTGCTTCCTACAGTAGATCGTCCCATTAAAAATTTGTTATTAAAAATCTGTATTTTTGTTTAAAGTTCAGTGGATGGCTATGACTTAGTTTTCATGTTTGGATAAAGGTTATACTGTTAAGACTTGAAAATCAACACAGAATTTCTGTGAAAGTGGTGAATAATTGAGATGACCTAGAGCTTTAACACCACAATTCTAACATAACAGGACAAGCCTTGCATAGGAGGCCTAAAGTGCATCCACATCTTGGCTTATGCTTTGCCAACCCTATGCTTCAGCTCAGATCTGCTTCATCTGCCCCCAGGTCATTCAGGATTATCTCTCCTACCAAAACCAGCAATGAGGGCAAAGTTCACTTTCTTAATCAGCCAGAGGTGTTGGGTTTGTGGCATTCTTATCAATAGGCAGTGAGGACTTGGCGACTGCATCAAACTGGTCCCAACTGTAGCCTAGCATTTGAAACATAGCATTCGCTCACTATGAAGAGCAAAGCAAATGAATGCCTACAGATTTGGAGGGATCAGAGTACCTCCATTGTGCTCCTTACCCAGTTCTCAGATGACAGTGGTTGGACAAATTGTCCTCACCATGTATTCAGGGCATCAGAAGAAGCAAGGGAAAACAGAGCAAAAAGTATTATCTCACCAATCCAGATGCTGGCAGCAGTTCTGCTGGTGCTGGTGCTTTACAAGCTCTTAGAAGGTATCTGGGGATACCAGCTGATTGCTTACCTCATCAGTGGGTTTTGAATCCATTTCCATAATCTTATGAGAAATGTAGTGTTTCTGGAAATAAATGAACCACAGTAATTATCACGTATCAAGTGCCTACTCTCTATCTTTATTTCTCATCTCATAAGGTGTATTCTTATTCCCTTTTTATGGATAGAAATCAAGGCACAAGAGTTACTAAAGGTAGCCTATCAACTGATAAGGGTCAGAACCAGACTTTGAGACTGGCTCTATCCAATTCCAAAATCTACTCCCTCTTTATTCTATTGCATTTACTTAAAAGGTGGATACTGACTGCTTAGATCCTATCCAAGGACAATTAAATCCTTCTGATCTGGCTATTACAAAATTTGCATATTATCGCAGTGTATTAGTGGGCTTATGTCCGTGCCATGTGACTGGCCTGGTTTTGGTCATCCTGAGGGGTAGAACTGAACTGAGATTGCCTTATAGGCCTATCTATAAAAAACAACCCAGAAAGTCTGATGTGGCTCCAGATGACAACACTCCATTGGCACATAAGCACAACCTTTATTGTGCAATTCCAATATGTGCTCAGTGTAGTTACGAGGGTTTTTAAAGTGTAGTGATGATAATGGCTAACATTTATTCCAGAGACTATCTATGCTTTGTAAGTGAATGAGCTGATTTGGTACTGGCTATAAGTGATAGCCAGACTGGAACTGAATGTCTTCCTTAGACCTTTGTGAGAAATCATGTTCATTTTCCCTAAACATTTACTCTCCCCTGTTCTCTACTCCTATTTTGACTCCTACCCTGGTCTTCTCCAACACCCCTCCAGGACCTGTTTCCTCCCTCCCCCACTAAAACTGTCCTGGTTGGTATTTCTTTTTTTCCTCTCAGGGTTCAGGAAAGTGTCAATTAGCTAGACTGTTAATGTGAGAAGTAGTTCAGTGCAATTTCCTTGGGATTCTGGAGAATATCTCCTGGTCTTATTTTTACTCTTTATTGACTTTGCCCACAGATATTTGAGAGGAGAACTGGGCTTTAGCGCCTCTTGTAAATGAAAAGGCTTGTCATTTGGACCCCTGGCCAAATCAAGCCTGATATGGCTGTGAAGCTAACAGCTCATGCTAGGCACACACACAAGGCAGCAAATTAAAAAGAGGATTTACTTTGCATGATCCCTAAAAGAAAGATTTGGTTATTTGCTTTTATACCTCACTAGCTTTCCTGAACTTGGGTTTATTATAGGTAATGATTGTTTAAAAAGATGAACCCAGGTTAATAGCCTTCATTTTAGAAAGATGCATTTAATAAATCTCTAAATGCAAAAGTTTGTCTTCATTTTGCACATACTGAATTTGTTTCCTAGAGGTCATAGTCCTATTTAAAATGTTTTACTTAAATTATTTTTAAAAAATTAATTTCCAAATTAGAAAAACACATAGTCTTGTGTTGCATTAATAGAACTTTAGAGGATTTGAAATACTAATATTCTTAGTCATATCTATCCACTCAGGATGGAGAGCATTAACATAAGAGAAATCTAACAGTTGCTTTGTCCTAACAATTAGTGCTAAGGAGTGGACCTGGCCATTTTTCAAAAACGGAAGTGTTAGTAGTTATGGATTTTTTAATTAGAAATGTAAATGGAACCACTCTTGATCGATTCTTAAAATCAACTAAGGATGTTCACTTGAATCTCAAAGTAAGGAAAATTATTTTCAAACTTTAGCTTGAATTTAACATTTATAAAATAGAAATAAGTTTGAAAACTATGGCAGAATCAGAGCCAGGGACTTTATATGAATGGGAACTAAATGCAGTGTAGGCAGTAGACCTTGCCCCACCCAGTGCTATCCCAGGATACAAACACCTGGTCTGAGTCAGTCTCAGCAGATGTGATGCATCCTACTGAAATATGTACTTGTGTTATAATGTGGCAGTGTAACCAGTTCGGTGATATGTGTCATTACCACCTTGCACCAGGAATTAAGGAATCATGAATGTGTAGTGGTAACATTTGCAAAGGGGGTATCTATTGCAGTTATCACATCTGTTGTTCATTACGATATTCTAATGGGAAGTCTTTTACTCGCTTCCACCCCACTCTTAAAGATAAGCTAGCAGCAGGTATGGGCTCATCTAGTGTGCCACCATAGTCACAAATATTACCACTGCACATACACAAATCAAACAAGTTCAGCATAACACACCACTCTTCCCCAGCAATGCTGATAGTAGGGATGAATCAGACCATTTTTGTATGTTCTCATCAGACTTTGTTTGGCTGGAACTCTGCACTCCTTACTGCTTGCATGTTTACTAATTTATTATTAAAATCCCTGTATTTGCCTTTGTTCCTTCACAACTAACACACTGGCCTCTGAATGCATGAGTTTTGTGTAAATGAGTATGTGACTTAGCAACTAATATATCATTGGTAATGTATTGTAAGATCTTAACTGGAATTATTATACTTAGAAGCAATTTTACATTAAGTGGCAAAAATAAGGCAGAATATTAATATGTTGTATACTTAATTTACCATTATGAGCTCTTAGAATAATTTTATCCATTCTCCATATTATCTTTTTAATTATTCTATATGAAACTTCATTGTTGGCTTTCTAGTTGCAAAGTATGATTCTATGTACTAACATTTAAGTGGTTCATTGCAATCATGGAATTAGAAAGCTAAAATTCCAGCATTCCAGTTTTGGGGATGACAGTGTCATCTTCCCAGTAGTTAAACTTTGGAGTAAGAGCTTATGGAAGTAGAAGTCAGAGGGTTTGTTCTGAACTCACTTTTCAAATATTTGAAAATGATATTAAGCAATCGCCTGCTATTTATTTCATGTGTTCTCAACGTCTCAGAACTTTATCTCCTGCCAAGTCTCCTTCTTCATCAACTGGGTCCATTGCATCTAGCAGAAAGTACCCTTATCCAATGCCTCCACTTCCGGATGAGGAGAAGAAAGTGAATCGACAAAGTGCCAGGGTATGTGGCAATGTTTCTCCATAACCTTACCTAATCAGTCCTTAGCACTTCTCTGTGAATTCACAGTGTAAAAGATACATCTTCCTTCTTCATGAGAAAATTAAATATGAAAATTAGAATATTCTTGGGGCTTTGGGGTTCAGATTTGTATTTGCAAATAAATTTAATCTGCATTGGTATATGCTGGAGATATTTGGTGCATATTAGTCATTAATATATACTTAAATTGTTTATTATTCATTGTAATTAATATAGTAAAACCTGGAATAGATAAAACCAAAGGATATATTTTGCTGTACCAGTTTTTTAATATTCCTGGAAATGCCAGAGACCAAATAAATTAGCCACTTTTCTATGCAAATTTGCTTGCTCAGCCCTTTCACTGGCTAAATCCTCAGTAGATTGTTAGAAACAGGAACTTATGACAGAAATTCAGATTATTGTCTTAGGGATGGGAGTAGAATTTGATACTGGGAAAGGGGATTTGAAAATCTGTAGTATTAGCCAGACTTGGTAGCACATACCTGTAATTCCAGTGACTAGGGAGGCTGAGGCAGGATGATTGAAAATTTGAGATCAGCCTCAGCAACTTGGTGAGAACCTCAGCAACTTAGTTACATCCTGTCTCAAAATACAAAATAAAAAGGACTGGGGATATGGCTCAGTGGAAAAAACATCCCTGGGTTCAATCCCTAGTACCAAAAAGAAAGCAAGCAAGAAATAAAAGTTCAGAAAAATCTGTACTATTTAAAGAATACAGCAGTGTATGGCCAAATTTATTTATGTGTTTGTTTATTTAGGTACTGGGGATCAAACCCAGGGACTTGTTCATGTTTGGCAAGTACTATATCACTTAGCTTGCTCCCAGCCCCCCCAGAGATCAAAATTTTTAAAAAATATAAAAGTATTTATCCTGTTCACAATAATATGATTCACAAGAAGTTTTATTTAGCTATCAAGTCTCTTTTTGCATTTTAATCATATACCACTTTCTTATGATATTCCTGGAATCTTATGTGAAATTTGAAATACAGTGCAGTTTAGAGAGGCAAACCAAACTTTAGAGGTTTAAATAAAAGATACAACCAAAGAATAATTATCTTTGTAGATTTTCAGACTCTATTGTGGTCAGTTAATACTATAAAGTTGACTTTCTCAGAGATAACATTAGAAAAAAAAAAAAAAAAGAAACGAAGCTTTAAAAGCCTTCGCAGATGTATCTGCTAGTGAATACTAGGTTGCTAGATTTTTCTTGGTCTTCAAAGATATTTAAGAGACTCTTTGCTCTTCAACCTAAATTATGGGGTTCAAGATAATTATGGATCAAATTTAAACTCAGTCAATCCACATCCAATAAGAAAAGACAAATCATTATATGCATTATATTTTATAATAATAAAAAAATCTTTGAAAACAACTATCGTGTTAATCATAAAAAAAAAACCTCTCTATGTTAATATGGAAAGTGGTAAGCAAAACAACTCAGATTGCCAGCACTTGGCTTTCTAGCCTTAAAAAGGACTTGTTGATAGACAGTCATTTCTGATACATGATATTGAAATCTAAGGCTGTTGTCATTCTTCCCCTCCTAGGAGAATTGTCTAAGTACAGCACCTCATTTTTTTCCCTATTAAATCATCTACTTCTCTGTTTTACTGCATCAACTTGGGGACATTGTTCAGCTGTTGTTATGCTGGAGTGTGGGTTACTAGAGATGACAGTTCCTCTGAAAAAATGGCTGGCCCATGCCCCTTCCCTGGGCTGAGCAGGGTGACTGTAAAGACTAGCTGCTGGGGGATTGGGGCTGTAGCTCAGTGGCAGAGTGCTCGCCTATCGTGTGTGAGGCACTGGGTTCCATCCTTAGCACCACATAAAAAAATAAATAAAGGCATGATATCCATCTATAACTACCAAAAAAAAAAAAAAAAAAGACTAGCTTCTGGGAGAGTTGCTTGAAAGATATGATTTCTTCTTCTCACTATGGATTAGCCACACCTTTACGAGTCCTGCAGAATAGGCGGCCCCTGTTGCTGGGCTTTCTTTGGGGCTGTGGAGACTCAGATAAGCAGACCTTCCTATCAGCAACCCCTTTGGCACAGCCACACAGGCCTGGGCAAAGTTGTGCCTATTATAAAAATGATGTCTTGGCCAGTCTTTTCTCCTTTTTTCGTCACAGGGATAATCATGACTTTTAGGTTGTCTCAGTGTCATTCATTTGTTCCTCTCCTTTCTTATGTAATATTCATAACTATATGCAAAAAGGTACTTCGGCTCTCTGAATCCAAAGTGTTGTCTCTTTACCACTACAGACCATTATCAGGGTATTGATCCAGATACTCTTTGCCTCAGACACCCCTGCCAGCCCCATTAAACTCTCCACCACTAGATGTCATCTACTCCCGAAGATACTCATAGTTGAGAGAAATCCTTTTGGTTTCCAAGAACAAGAGGATGGGTGTCTTTTTAATGATAAGGGCATACAAAGCCAGCCTGAGGTAGATAGCACAGAAGGCTTTATCACAGTCCTGAGGTGTAAGTCAACATGAGTGTTCAGAACAAGATTTCCATGAAGATTTGAAAGAACATCCTAAGGTAACCTATAGAAACATCTTCATAGTTGCTTCCTTTCCATTTCTTTCCCAGAAACCTATTGTGTGTACCATAATATGCCCCATGTATCCAGTAAAAATGGAATTTGGATGGGAATGGGTATAATTTAAGTCACTCTCTTAATAGGCTTTCTTTGTTCATGTTTATAGTAAGTTTTAAACATCATATTGCCTGAAAATATGTTTCATCAGCTAGATTTTTTTTTTTAATTGACCTTCCTTCTCTGGTGAATTGATTTACATTCACATCTGACAGTGCTAAAGTTGTTTGCGGTCCATTAAGGCAACTGCTGAAGATTGTAGAAATTAGATCTGATCAGGCTCAGTGTATAGAACTGGTGACAGAAGCACAGAAAGGGAAAAGGTGAGGGAATGAAGGAAGGGACTTCCTGCCTTGCACTCATCCTTCTTCACTGAAGGGTCAGCTCCTGAGAGGACAGTGATGAAATTGCAGAGTATGTGGTCTGGTCCTATGGCTGTGGCCCAGGACAGTGATTCGTAAGTGGGTGATGGTAGTGTTGATGGAATCACACTTCCCAGAAGTCAGCAGTTCTTAGCATTGACTGCACATTGGAATCATCTGAAGAGCTTTAAAAACATTCTCAGCCTAAGTCTCACACAGAGAGGTTATAATTCAGTGATCTGGTGTGCTGTCTGGGCAGTGGAAGTTTTAAATATTTCCTAGAGAATCCTGAGCATGTGTAGCTTACAAATAATATCTTTACAGTCTTTCGTTTCATTTGAGACAAAATATTTATTCAAAATTTTGAGTAAAATTAAATGAAGATGTAAAGTTTTTTTTTTTTAATTGAAAGGTGATATTCATTAAAAAGGTTGAGACACAGGCTTAGAGGAAAGAGCTAAAAGCCGAAGTGTTTATTTTATCCGTGCACTAGACATTGTAAGAGTGTGTTTTCACAGTCACGTAACTATGGATGGAATCACCAACTTATTCATCTTCCTAACTCAGAATATGTCTGCTTCTCCTGCTTTTACAACGTACAACTTTGCTTTTCTCTATTGTGCAGCTATGGGAAACATCCATTTGAGATCAACTGTTTACATGTGACACATCAAAACTGTTTACTTCAACTTTTATAGAAGCCCAGCCTCACGGAATCACTGCAAATCTATCTGCTCTTCAGAGGACACCAATACCCTCTGAGATGCCACAGAGGAGAGGAAGCTGTTTCACATCTGGATACCATTTTCTTTTTGTCATTGGCTTAGGATTTAACTGAACCATGAAAAGAACTACTGACATGTCACATTATAACACAGAACAATAAGGGTACTGGTATGTTAATGGATAATCCGCATGACAGATATATGTAGAAATATCAATAAAATTAACTCACATGACCCCAAATGTAGCAAGTTTCCTAAGGGACAATAGTGGTTTCAGAACTTCACATTCTGAAGCGCATCCTCATTGTATACAGTAATGCTATATGCATGAAGCTTCTGTTTATTGTTTTCCATATTTAAGGAAACAACATCCCATAATAGAAACTAGCATGCAGGGCTACGGCATATAGGATTTTTCTGCAGGACTTTACAGCTTTGAGAGGCCAATATCCCATATGCTAACTTTAAACATGTATTTTTATTTTTGTTTTTTACTTTTCATATTTATATAAGCATTCAAGGACAATTGTACATATGTAAACATTTTTAAAATTAAAAAAGCAGCTGTTACACACAAGTGTATTTTGCCAAATGCCTAAAAAGAGTCAGTCACAATCACATCATCGTCCACCATCCAATGGTCTTCAAAGAGTATAAGCAGATGATGTAAATATAGTGGTCAATGCTGTAAATGTGTCTCTCCATAATTGGTATTTGTCGAAAACATGTGATATCCCTTTAAACTGTGTGTAGTCTGGAGGCCGTTTTATTGAGTCAGCAAGAAACAAAATGCTCAGCAAAACTTCTGGCCTCCATAGCTTGCTAAAGCAGGAGTCCAGTAGTGTGGCTGCCTTGCTGCCTTGAGACTATGCTGGTGGTTGCTCTCTGGGCCCCCATCCACTAGCCCATGCACTTCTCTTCTGGGGGTACATGGTGCCTGCCGCAGCAGCTATTCTCTTCCACTTCCAGAGCATATCAACTAGTCTCACCCTGGAGGCCGTGAGCCCCCAGCAGTGTGTTCTGCTGAGGTTAAGCAGGTGAACCAAAGACAATCCAGACCACAAACTGCTGGTGAACTGGTAGCTTCCATCTTGCCAATACTCTAACCCTTCTGTGTAGCCTGAAGTTTTTTTTCCTTGACAAAACTTTTCAGCCACCTTTATCTGTGAAAGAATGACTTGTAACAAAAACAACTTCTACACTGTTTATTAAGGGTATTTGTTAACACTGGGATGTGAGTCCCAACAGGTCATTCTGCGCTCACCCTGGAGCAAGATGATGGATGGTTCTGCTGTCTGAGCTGGGAAGCCTCAACAGGGCATAAAGGGTTAAATGAAATCTAAAGCCACAAAGATGCAGCAACTGGAAAATTATACAAACAGCAGCAGAAAGAATCTGATGTCTTGAGCCCTGTCATCTTTAATCCATAGAAAAATGAGAAATTTATGTTCAAAGCCCTGTTTTTAAACCAAAAGTTCGATAGCTATTATAATGCCAGTCTGTCAGTCCAAAAAAAAAAAAAAATTAAAAAAAAGGCACTCTAGTGAGGTCAGAAATTGATGGGATCAATCGTGATCTTTTGTGATGAAGTATACTTCTGATTTCCTCTTTTTAATTTTTATTTTTTTCTACATTTGCTTGAGAGGAAGGGAATCAGCTGATAAGATTTCAGGAATGCCTTCTAAGTTTGATTTCTTCTGGTAATGTACATGGACAAAATCCACTTCATCTCCCTGTGTAATCACCCTAGTTGCCCAAACTTCCAGTTAGAAGACTGTGTTTCATCCTCAGTGTTCATGTCTTCTGTAGAAGCCCTCTCTTCTGCAAGTCTTTGAAAATGTTTGAAAAGTGGTTTCATCATCCAGAATTATATATTTAATTATCTAAACTTTGTGGAAAATAGCAGTTTTTCACAACAGGAAATGATGTGATTGTTGATACCTCAATAAAACAATCCGTCAGACCAAGGCTGGTGTGAGTGGTGAGCAGTGTTGCCACAGAGCTCTAGCCAAGGACAGAAGGGCAGACAGATTAAAAGATGTAGCAAATAAGGTGACTTGACCAAGATCATTTTAAATGTGCACTGAATGTTTTCTGGTATTGAGTGTATAAAAGGCTAATAAGGTTTATTTTGACTACAAAAGAGTTTATAGATTTGAATGTAAGGTGCCTCATGTAAATATCCTTCCTAGTTATAGTTCCATAAGCCCTATTTGAAAGAATCCACAAATGGCTAGCTACTCCATTGGTTATCTATCTTTCTCACCTTCTCAATTATTTTTACTGAAAATTATTATTTCCAAAAGAAAATAATTATGTGCCTTTTGGGAGATATGGTTGTTCTAGAGGTATATAGTTTGTAATCATACTCATTGGTAATAACCTTCTTTTGAAACTGAGTGAAAAGTGATTGGTCTGTTTGCAGAGATTATGATTTTAGAAATATAATAGCTTCAGTGTTCTGTGCTGAATATCTACTCTATCTCCCATGTTTAAACATTCTAGAACCATTTGTGGAATTCTTTGACAAATTTTAGCCTCAAAGGATAGTTTCAAGAAGTATCTATATGTACACTCATGATTGATGTTCTAGAGCATTATGTCTAAATATTTATGACTTTTCATTCACTGAGGTAGACAGAATGGATCCATGGCACCAAATAAAAGCACAGATAATATATCTTTTTAAATATTTATTTTGGAGAGAAACTTTGAGGACACATTGCAGTTCATATCATACAACTAATATTCATATTCCCCAGTTCAACATGGGATTATTACTAAGCTGAAAAGAGCATTTATTTGACCCTTACATTCCATTGTATGCCTTTCCCCCCACTTTCTGAAGTTCTGTGCATAGTTAGGACTTCAGATTGATAACCCTGCTGTTTGAGATGTTCCATTTATCCATATTCATCACAGTTCTGATATAAAAAGACTTTTAGATGTCTCCACTAAGAGTCAACATGGGAGTTGTGGGATGACAGGGACCCCTTAAAGAGTGGATTAGCTAGACTAACTGTTCTCTGCATCCAGCACTTACTCCCCACCCCGACTCTGCCTTCTTTCCTAGTACTGGGGATTGAATGCAGGGGTGCTCCACCACTGAGCTACACCCTCAGCCCTTTATGTTTTTAAATTTGAGACAGAGTCTCATTGAATTGTCTAGGCCAGCTTCAAACTCGCTATCCTCTTGCTGCAGTCTACTGGGTTACTTGCCACCATATCTGGCTCATCCAATTTCCTAAAATAGGAAGCAAAATCCTCCTCTGGAGTCACCAAGCTAGAAAATGACCCTCAGTCACATGCAGTCTGTGAAAAGGAAAAAGTCAGTATGTCTCCAATAGATCATCACAATGAGGGCTCCCAGACTTACTTTAGTGATTTGTGTGTGTGTGTGTGTGTGTGTGCGTGCGTGCGTGCTGGGAATTGAACCCAGGGGCACTTTTACCACTGAGATACATTCCCCAGCCTTTTTTATTTTTAATTTTGAGACAGATCTCACTAAGTTGCTTAGGGCCTTGGTAGGTTACTGAGACTGGCCTCAAACTTGGATCCTCTTGCTTCAGCCTCCTAAGCCTCTGGGATTACAGGCATACACCATCACATCCAGTGAAGTTGTATTTTTAAAGAAGCTCAGCACCTCAATTAGGAATAACCTACCCTAACAATTGTTATAAAAACTAATTGACCAGCCAGGTGCAGTTCCACATGCCTGTAATCCCAGCTATTCAGGAGGATGAGGCAGGAGTATTGCAAGTTTGAGGCCTCCCACATAATCCCTTCCAATTGACTAATAAATAAAAGATAGGGTTAAAATTCCAAGCCTATTTTTCAGTTTGATATGGTGTTTATTAAGTGATACTGCAGTTCCTCTTTTTCCCTTTTGCTTTCAAAGACTTTGAGAATTGTTTTTGTGCATAAGGTCAGTTCAGCATAGAATTTCTGAATGTAAGATTGATATGGTTTCTAAAAGAAGCTAGTGAAAGATAAAATTAGATATTCTGTGTGCTTCTAAGGAGAGGCTGTGTTTGAATTCTATAACAAGCTCACAGTTCTCAGTCTTTTCTGTTGAAGCCCTTGCATATTTGCATCATTTAATCCTGCCCTAGATCTTTTGTGGACACTTTACCTGTTACCTTTTTTCAGATTTTATTTATTTTTATTTTTTTGTTTAGATACCTTTGAGCCAGAGGAAATAATAGTATTTCTGTCACTTCTTTCAGTGTTTCAAAATCATGTTTGTTTATTTATTTATGTCATCCATTTATTTCCTGTTGTTAGTGTTCCATTTTTACCTTAAACACACACACACACACACACACACACACACACACACACACACACACACAAACACATGCATGCACAAACTTTATTTCTTTGTTATTCAACATGATAATAGATCCTAATCTAAAGAAAAGACTATTTTACTTATCTTAAAGGACAGGAAGGCTAGATATTGAGTGGCTTGTGTGTGGTGGGAGTGGAGAACAAACTGTGGAACTGTCAGGACTGAAGAGAGGCAAGACAGTTGCCTTCACAGCCCGATTTGGAAGCTGCTTGCTGCTGCCACTGGATGCCACAATATGGGGCGTATTGTAAATATCTTCTTCCAGTTGGTAAGTTGGCATGAATTTTCCATGAAACACTCTCCCATTTGCATTATAATTATCTATTTTTCCTTAACTTTATGTTTTTCCTTTAAAATTGTCACCTAAATACATTTCCCTCCTTCAATGTATGGAGTCAAGATAAATTTCTCATTCTCTCTCTACCAGTTTAAAAGATTTAAAAAGCAACGTATCCATGGAATAGGGTTTAATTTCAAACTCAAATGTTTATTTTCCTCTTCTGAGATACTTTCTGAATGGATAAGATTAATCTGATTTTGGATGCAGCAAAATATTTTCTCCTCGCACTGGATAACTAAGCTTTCATAAATATCTTTCCCTGGTTATTACATTGTGAGGCACCTGGTCTTCAGTTGTGGCAATTGCCTGGTGCAGGAGTCCCTCCAAGTTGTGTGAATGGGAGCTTTTAAAGTGCACCTGCTGGGAACTGCTGGCATGTGCTCACAGCATATGCTGTCAGGCAGGTGTTTTGACTACCAAGAGGAGCGGTTCTACCACTTCTGCAGGTGCAGAGCAAAGATGGTTAAGATTTTAGAAAATGGAAGATACTATTTCTATTCACATTTTATTCATGGTTTTGTCAGAATTCTCAACATGGAACATCTTTGTTTTGTAAGCAGTACAACAAAATAAATATTCAAAACAAAAACCTGCCTAGTTAGTATTTCTGCCCCTTATATCCATGGCCTGACAAACAGTAAGCATCCTCACTAGGGGATTTGAGGGATGCTTCAGAACCTTGCTGTTTCTGAAGTAGCTCCCCCTTGAGTAGCTGTGCAGCACTTTCCTCCTAGTTAGCTTTCCCTGTCATGGAGGCTAGTACTTCCATGTGGAGACTGGAAGGACACCAGGGATGTAGGGTGGGGTGGGAGGCATTGTTAGCCTCCCTTTGACACTTTAGCATGTATTTTGCAACTTGGAAAGTCACTGAGAGACAGGCCCTAAGGTGTGGATATCAGAATGGGGAGGAGATAAGTAGTAGTAAGATTTGGGATATCATGGGGCAGTTGTTTAGTCCCGGCGTAGAAGAACCTGAAAGCCAAGCAGGCACAAAAGCTCTAAATGGTCTCTAGGCACGTGGTAGGGAAAGAGATAGTGGGAGCCTAAGGCAGATTTTTGTGCTTTACAGCTTTCGCCAGTGGTGGCTCTGTAAGTGCTTCATGGTCCAGTGGGGTGTCCCTGTTGCATTGTTGGTAGAACTTGCCACATAACAGAGAGGTGCTTCAAGGGAAGCAGGATTTTGGTGAGAGGCATCATCATTTCATGTTCCAAGTTCCCCTAGAATCAAAACTTAGCAAAATGTGTGTTTTGTTCTTTTTGTTTTGGTACTGGGAATTGAACCTAGGTGTGCTTAACCACTGAGAAACATCTCCAGCCCTTTTCACTTTTCATTTCAAGACAAGGTCTTACTAAGTTGCTTAGGGCCTTGCTAAATTGAGACTGACTTGTGATCCTCCTGCCTCAGCCTCGTGAGTCACTGGCATTACAGGTGTACGCCATCATGCCTGGCTCTGTGTGTTTTGTTTGGTTTCATTTTATAAAAAGGCATACAATGAGAGTACACAGTCTTGTTAAGATAATGTGCATACAAACCATCAATCATAAAATTTCAAAGAAAATTAGTTTCCCCTTTATTTGTGTGTGTGTGCATGCACACACTAATCTGCATTCACCTGAGGGCTTAGCCTTTTATTTTATGAAGTTTCAGTCTGTGATTTGTTTTGATGGTTAAGCTCTAAAATAACACTAATTTCCCCCAAATCTACAAATATAGCGGTGCTAAGTTATATCAGATAACACAATACAGAGAGTGCTGATAGGAATTAATACTTAGTAATAAGACAAGAATTCCTGCTAAATTATACATGTGTATCACTGCCTGATTAGAAACCCCACTTTTTTTTTTTTCTAATCCAGCACAAAATCAAACTGTGATTCTACAACCAGTCTTTTTAATGGGTAAAAATGACCCAACACCTTTGTTTTGTATGGGGAACTTTTTTTCTTAACACTAACTTCAAAAGCTTAACAAAAGGATCTTTCAGAATAACTCAGCATGTGCTCCTTTTTAACTTGTAAGAAGACTTGTCCCTCTAAACTAGAATCCCCAACCGACATCTTTCAGAAACTGGGTGTTCTATTTAATCAAAGCAGTTTATGTTAGTCTGTTTAGGTCTGTGCTAGTGTTTTCCACATCTGCCATCCTTGAGGGGTGATTCCATCTGCACATGATGGAAATCACCCTGCAAGGAAGTGTTACTAGCAGTACGGTTTCACTTTTGGTAACCAGGTATTTATGTGTATATATTTAGATTTGCATCATTTTAACATTCTCTCTGCTACTCTGCACTTCAGGTTCTTACGCTATTTTAAAAATAATTGGGTTTTGGCAAACACCAACTGAAATGTATATGGTGACTGCTTTCCTGGGCAAGTGTGATTTGTTTTATGGCCATTCAAGTTATAAAATTGTTCTTGCATTGTAGGTAAACAAAATCTTGCTGTTTTTAAAGGTCATTGTAACTTGAGGTTCAAATTTCTGACGCAATTTTATTAGTATTCACTTCTGAAGCTAATAAGATACCAGTTTTCTATGTTACTCTCATTGTAACATCAATAAAGTGACTTTCAATAAAAGATTTATGTTATTTTGATGCATGACTCCCTTTAATCTCTTTTCTCCCAGCCAGATGCTCTTTCAGGTTAATCAAGATATTGTTACAGGGTGTTTTTGTTTTTGTTTTTCCTGTTCTACACAGTCCTAGAAGAGATCATTACTTGATAAGAAATAGAACAATCCTTTAGTAAAGCCTGGGTGCTCAGATATGCTGAGCATTTTCCTCTACTTCCCAACTGCCTTGCTTCTTAAACACTTTCCCTCACCCTAATGAGGATTCATGTCTTGTACCTTATCCTACAGCCCAGGCAGTGGTGCTCACTTGTGCTGCATTCTAAAGCAGTCTTGGATGGGTTCAGTTTAGGTTCACGAGTTCATTGCCTACAAATGGTTCGGCTCTGGACTTTTCATCTCTTCCCACACATGCATTTTAGTTACCAGTCATTATACTGGCATTTGCAATTTCCTTGCCTTGAGCTCCTAGTCTGCATAGAAAAAAGTAGTCAAGTTCTGTGTTACAGTGTGAGAAAAATGGAAGGAAGTTGTTGATGGAGGGCTTGTATATTTATTATGAGATTTTAAAAATTATGGTGATCACAAAGAACTCCATTACTTATATTTGAAGCATATAATAATTAATTTATATGAGCACTGAAACAATGATGCACTCAGGTGAGGCAAAGCAAAGCCTAATCCAGAGACAGCAGAAGTTTTAGCTCACATGCCCCCTCAGGGGCTGATGGTACCACCTGGAATATCATGCTAGAGTCTCAACTCCAACTTGGCTCAGTAAGAGCGTGAGTTTTAACTTAATGACTACTGTGGTGCAAATCTATGCCGGTCCCCAGGAAGTACCAGGCCTCTGGCAGCCACATTTCTATGAAAATTGTGTGAAATGTGTTATGAGGACTTTGTAAATCATGAATCTTTTGAACCATAAGACCGAAGCACACATTTCCAAAATAAAATACAACCCTGAGTGGGAGTGATCTGAGGAACTTATTTTTCCCAATAATTCTAAGAATTCAAGTTTGAGTTCACAGCTTTACCCCTTCCCAACTGTATGCTTTAATAGAAGATCAAACAGACTGAGAAACAGTTTTAAAGAAATGGTTGAGGCTACACTGGAAGTATACAAAGAAATGAAGCACAAAACCCAACATAAAATAGAAACAAAGTAGCCCAAGATTCTTTTGTAATGAAGACTGACTGAAAGGGGATGGCTACCTCAAATCCATCAAGGAGAAGGAAAATTTTTAACTGCAGACACAGACTGAAGAGGAAGCGCCATGCCATGCTTTTGGAAACAAACTGTACTAGCAAAAATAGAGGAGGTAAGACTTTTTTGAAGTATCAATAATTAAAATTGAATTAATTGATATAGAAGCATGGTTTATAATTATTTAGCACTTATCCAAAAGCAAATTCAGTACCATGATAGATGTAGCACATCTTGGGATTCATAAAAGCAACAAGGTGGTTCAAATAAGGGCTGTGACCTTGGGTTAGCAAGGATGCTTTTTCCTAAATGCAAATGATCACCCAAAAATTTATCTTCCTTTAAACTATGTTCTCAAGATCCTGGTGAGTTTTAGCCGAACAATAGGGACTGGAACTCTTTAAGGACCATCCCTGTCTCTTTGTCCTCTGGACACCCTTTGGCCCATTTTTGGGCAGCCCAGGCTCAAGAGAAGCTTTGTGGCCACACATAATATATCTGGGATGAAACCTGGACTTACTATATAAGATACAGCAGGACCATCACACCCTAACATGTAATCGAGGCATAACTACTTCACATATAAATTGCCTCAAATGCTTAGGCCTCCCCGAAGCTCTTCCCCAAGGTGCATCATCATTTTCCCACATTCCACATGTTGTGCAGGTCCTCAGTCCTTTAGGTGAGAGGGTTAGACCAATTTAGCTCCAAGTTCTTGGTTTCTGGGTTTCCAGCCTGCTCTGCATTTATCATTTTAGAGAACAGTTGTTAAGGAGAGCCGAATTTGAGGATTTTTGCCTTAGCCAATTAATGGTGTATTGTTTTTTCCTAAAAACCTTTGACTAGAACTAATTCCAAGAATTTAACTAGATTTTTTCTTTACTAATCCAAGGAACCTAATATTGAAGTTCTGAGCTTATATACTTGGGTCTCAAAAGAGTAGGACATTCAAAAGGAAGCAAAATAAAGGGTCCCAACATATAAGTCTATAGGTGATGATTAAATAGATATTTAGTCTTGATTTAAAAGCTTTATTTTTAACCTCCCACCAGGTGCTTGACTAGATTAGTATGGCTAAAATGCTAAAAAAATTAGAATGTCAGCATTAATAGTCTTCATATTAATATTTTATTTTTACTTTGAAAAATATTGCCAACAGACTACAGCATAGAAAGCAGACAACACTTAAAGTCAAGTGGTAACAACTGCTTATTTCAATGCTATGTTTATGTAAAGAGAAGTGTGAAAATATTAGCTCAATTTTTGAGGGTCTAGGTCATTACCTTCTAATTTCTGTAATTGCTTTAGGTATCTTTTGCCTATTTAAATATCTTGTGAATAAACTGAGAATCATTTACTCAAGTCTTTATTGAGACTTGAGGATCATGTCTGATTAGAACCTTGGCAAAACTATTAAAAAAGATTTTTCAAATTGGGGCTGTAGATACTAAACCAAAATAATCTTTGTTTTCAGTTTATGGTTATTTACTCTCCCTTTACAAGGATATAATTTAGTTACATACTAATATGAACTACGCATATGTACTAGTGGGGGACAATAGGTTTGCTATGTAGTGAGTGTTTTAAAATAAATATTATCTAAGCTCCTCCCCCATATATAATATATATTATATGTATATATTATATATATTATATAATATAAGTATATATATTATATATATAAATTAGGGTTGAAAAGTATTTATGAAATATATATCTTAGCATTTAGAAAACACATTAGTGAAATGAGGCTAAAGAGACTTAAGAAAACTTTTATTTTCATTAGTTGATAACTAATTGTTCATTTGAATGGTAATGCTCACATTGTGCCCTCAAGTAAGACAGATACACTGCCAGCAAGGAGGAACTATAATAGCATCATTTTTTTTTAATCTGTTAAGCTTTCTTGCAAAAAAAAAACAAAAACAAAAAACAAACCAAAACCCCCTCCCCCCCAAAAAAAACAAAGGCAAATCAGGACAGTTTTAAATTTAAGAATCAGAAATGCTGTTTCTGCTTGTTATACCAACACACCTTTTCATGTTCAGAACTACCAAGATGTAAGTGCTATCTCCTTTTCAAAGACGGGAAACTAAGACCCTAGGGGTTATCTAAAATAATCAAACCACACAGTAAAAGGTGCAGCCAGCATTAGAATCCAGATCTTACTGAAAGCGCATGGTTTAAAAATATTATTGTTTAAATTGATATTGATATATATATTCAATACCTGTTTATTAGAGACTATTTGGGAAAGTAGGAGGAAGGAAGAAAACAAACCCATGATCCTGATGCGAGATTAACACTTTAGGACACTCATTTAAGTCTTTTAGCTGTGTGTTTTTAAAAGCATAAACACATGACATAACTAAATTGGATGCATCAATATTTTTAAAATCAATACATCTTTGACTTTAAAATTGAAGCATATATCTTATACAAAATTTGGAAAACACTGAAATGCATAAAGAAAATTAGTCATGAAGCATCCCATTAGCCAAAAATAACTATAGTTAATATTTTCATATATTCCCTTAGTCTTTTTCTATGAACTTTCTTTTTACATAGTTAAGCTTATAGCATATAAGATTCTTAAGTATAGTTAACAAAGGTTTGAATGGATGATGACAAAGAGGGACTTGGTGACAGTATTTGCCACTCAAATTATCCATACATTTTAAAAAGGCAGAAAATAATCACTCAATGTTCCCTGTCCATTCACAAGGCCATGAAAATATGTGTAAGTCTAAATCCTGTGCTGCTAACTTTCTAGGAAGGTAAACTCTAACATGGATTACTGTTTTTTTTTTTTTGCATTCAAGTGGGTGTATATCATTTACCGAAGAATGTTCCACACAAAACTTTCAACCACATTGAAAGATAACAATTGTAGCCTGATTAAGTGTTTCATATCTCATAATGAAACGTAAATAATGTGCCTTAAACATTTTGTATACTCAAATTTATGATAAAAGAGGCTTAGTAGGAAAATAAGATATGACTGATATTAGCTCAAGGAAGTTCTAGGTGGTATAACACACTTGATCTTACTAAGTTCCAAAAAATTTATTATCAAAACTAAAACCCAAACTTCAGTTGTGTGTAATGTAATAGACCTTTACAAGAGCTGTCAGGGGAAGTAGCCATGTAAGCTACACATGGTACTGAAGGCAAAGAGTAAGCAAATGCGAACTCCAGGTGGAATGTTGATTGACTTCCAGCAGCTTCCTCTCAAATGGTCATGACACACTGAATGAACTAAAAGAGAGAAAAGCCAGTGTTATGCTACAGACCACAAAACACTTAGTTCACTATAGCTGATTTTTTTCAACAGTTTACATTTTAGTTCTCCAACTTGGAATTAAGGATTAACACATACACATACACACAACCTCTAATATATGAGTACATCATGGATGGAAAGGTTCATTTTTTTAGGGAAATGCTCTACTATAAAACCCAATGGAAAGCTGGGTGTGGTGGCGCATGCCTGTAATCCCAGTGGTTTGGGAGGCTAAGACAGGAGGATTGTGAGTTCAAAGCCAGCCTCAGGAACAGTGGGGCACTAAGCAACTCAGTGAGACCCTGTCTCTAAATAAAATACAAAATAGGGGTGGGGATGTGGCTCAGTGGTTGAATGCCCCAAGTTCAATCACTGGTACCAAGGAAAAACAAATGGGAGCCAGGTATGGTGGTAAACAACTGTAGTCCCAGAGACTCAGGAGGCTGAGGCAGTCTCAAAGCCAGTCTCAGCAACTTAGGCCCATTCTCAAAAAAGTGAAAGACTGAGGATGTAGCTCAGTGACAAAGCATCCTTAGGTTCAATTTCTAGTATAAAGGAAAAAGAAAAAGAAATACCCAGTGGGGTTCTTACTTCTTACTGGTATAAGACATTACTTCAATTGATAAAGGATTATTTAAATCCTGGATAATATTGAAGATTCTACAAAAGGTCACAGTCAAAGGTACCTGCCCACAAATACAAATAACTGGAATTTATACTGTCATATCATGTTCCAAATTGCACAGTTTGACCCCCTTTACTTTAATGGAGCATTTTTAAACAATGTATTCCTTTAAAATCTGCTTATTAAAATAAACCTAGATGCAAATAAAACCTGAGTTTAGAAGCACAAGCATATGATGTGAAATGCTGGGATCCCCCACTAAACACACAGAAATAACTCTGCCCCTTCTATCAACTTTTTCTTTGACTTTCCAACACTGATAAGGCCCTGTGTGCTGCTAGTCCATGTAGCTGTTCCACAAGGCCAAGCTGATTATTCCTATTTTAACAGAAAAAGAAGCTAATGATCAGGACATTTACAAATGTCTTAAATGGCTCCATTTGAGGCCAAAGCCCATGCTTTTTTCATTCCCCAGTGCCCTTGCTCTCTAATGCAGTGACAGGACTGTCAACTGAGAAGCTAAGCTAAGGCACACTAAAGAGAAAACACCCTTAAATAGAAGAAAGAAGCATTTTATACTTTCACATATACTATGCCTTTCCAAAGTGCACTGACAACCACAGTAGCTGTTAGAAATATTTTAGAATATTCAGTGATTACAGTGATTTCAATTCTCAAAGAGACTGTTTTTTAATCAATGGCTAAGCAAAAACATGAAATAACTAAGCATCTCCTTACTTTTGTTACACACATCCAGTGAATGATATCAGAGAGGGCAGTTGGTTATTTCACACTGGCCCCATCCTCTCTTGTTTAGTGTGGCTTTTCAGTAAAAACTTCCTTTAAATTGTTATTTAAGCTGGCACCTGCTCTTTGTTCTCAATTAAGAACATAGTTGTGCAAAATGCAGGTTTGAGCTATTAAAGCTTCTTCTCAGTCACTGAGATGGTTTGTTTGTAGAAGGGAATATCAGACACAATACCTGCAGCATGTGTTTTGAGGATATTTCTGACTGAAATCTTAAAACAGCCCAGTGAAAGAGGTACTACTATAATGACATCCTTCTCTTTATTCAAAAAGTTTCAAAGCAATTAAGAAACCATATAAGTGACACGATGCAGCTAATCAATGCAGGCTAGACTTGAACCCACATCTTTAAATACAAATCAGAGGTCCAACCTATAGAAAAAAACTAATAGTAAATGAAATTAATATATTTTAGGGCTGAGGTTGTAGCTCAGTGGTACAGCACTTGCCTTGCACACATGAGGTGCTGGGTTCGATCCTCAGCACCACATAAAAAATAAACAAAATATGTTTTAGATGGTAACTCCTTCTGATCACTTAATCTCTGATTTCTCTGGCATCTTTAAGATGTTCTTAATATCTAAATTCAAAAAGGATGCCCATTTTTTTGTGCACTGTATCCATCTACATAGCTCTTAATTTACTTAGACTTACATCATCATATGAGAAATTCACCATGCCTTGCTGACCAGTGTCCCGTCTTCGAAAGCTATCTGTAAAATAACACAATAAAATTTATAGTTTTTTTAAACAGCTTTTCTAAAATCACCATCATTGATTATTTTAACACTAGGATGGAATTATAGTAACATATAAATTGTACAAACTGTCAACAAGGCCAAAGCAAAGATTTACTATGCAGCAAAGTGATATCATAGGCAGAAGTTAACAGCTGTCTTTTTTTTTTTTGTGGAACTTGTAGGAAATACCTCAAAGTGAGTTTTAAAAAGCTGTGCAACTTCCAAGATCTTTACTTAATTGTGATGAAAGCATAAAATTTCAAACTTAATAAAACAGATATTGTTGAATTAAAGAAATAGATAAGAGTTCTTTTATATATATATAAATTTTTTTTAGTGGTCAATGGACCTTTATTTTATTGATATGTGGTGCTGAGAATTGAACCCAGTGCCTCATACATGCTAGGTAAGTGCTCTGCCACTGAGCCACAATCCCAGCCCTAGAGTTCTTAATATGATAAATGGGCTATGATAAAATATCCCACCCATTTCAGCCCACTTACAAAACAAAGAATTTATTTCAATTTTCAAAAATTTCACATTCTAAAGAGAAATCACTCATAATCCCACTCCAATAAAAATTCTCAGGTTAGGGCTGGGATGTAGCTCAGTTGTACAGCACTCATCTGGCATGTACATGGTCCTGGGTTTGATACCCAGAATCACAAGAACAAAAAGGAAAAGAAGTAAAGCACAAATTAGCTCATTATGTTTTGGACTATTTTAGTAAAACTTATTTAAGATTATTTTAATGGCAGATTACCCACTAACCAAAAAAAATTCTGTAAAACAAAATTATCATACTATGTATATGTAACAGCAATGTCACAAATTGACTAAAGCAACTACTGAACCACAGAAAAAACTGGGGAGAATAAAAGTTCAGAAGCACTGAGAAATAAAATATCAACTGAATCCTTGTGGCTCTTGATGACCACAAACCTCACAGAACACACCTGTGAGTGCTCTCAGCTTGACACAGCAGGCAATATAGTCATCGAAGGTGATCTTTCCACTGGTGCTGTATCGTTTTGCAATTGAATTCACAGTTTGGGGATTCAACCTAAATCCTGAAAGGCAGAAAAGTCATCCATTAAAAGTTTGAAAAAGAAAAACCACTGAAAAATAATCGAGCACAATTTTTAAGACTGTGGACTTTATTTATGAACACACACAATTTCTAAGAAAATAAAAACGATCTTCAAATAGCACTTACTATTAGAGAAAAAACAAAAAAAACCCACTCTACCTACCAGTGAACAGAGAGTTCCAGTTAGTCATACACACCCATGGTTGTCAGCGCCTTCTGCAATTCTTGAGGATCCACAGTTCCACTCCGATCACTGTCAAAACTGATGAAGTGTTGTCTCCAGCCATTCAGTACAGACCAGAGTTCTTTAAACTCATTGAACCCCATTGTGCCAGACCTGTCTCTCTGAACTGTAATCAAGGATCAGAGCTTCTTTATTTTGTAACATTTTCTAATGATTAAATGAAAAAGGGGGGGGGGGTAGAGGGAATTCAATGTTCTTTCTGCTAAAATATTTTAAAGTTATTGTACATTTTTCTTGGTATGATAAAATAGAAAGGTTGATGATAGCACACAAAGATTCAATAAAAAGGACCTATGGAGAAAAGGCTCTTAGTACCTATTTTTACTATGGGAAAACTAAATGGTTTAAGTAAAAGGTAGTCTTGGTTCTGGAATTGTGTGCACTTCCTAGGCAGCCCAGGCTATGTTGTCTACCCTTCTGTCCTGGAGTCCTCTCTTGTCAAGTTCTCCCAGACCTAAGGATTTCACCCCTGGAAGTTGGACTGGAATGGACATCACTTCATTTAAATAAGTCCAACACCTGGGGTGTGTATGATCCCCTCATTGAAGGTCGGGTGTGGATCTTGCAGAGCCATCAACACTAAAGGGAAAAAGCTTTTTGGTCCTTGTCTCCACACTTATTCTACTTTGATGCCTCCTTGGATTCTTAAACAACTGACATTCTGTTTACTAAATTTCCTTCCCATTTTTACACCAAACCATATCCTAAAAGCCAATTATTTCACCAAGCTTTTCAGGGATTGTCACTTGGTGTTTTAATTCTGTGATAAATTCCTTCAGGAAGGAAATTTCTTGTCAAGAAACAATACTCTAGACAACCATCGAGGTAAAGGATACATCCAGCATTGAAACCATAAGCCGACAGGTCTCCAGGTTAAAAGCTGTTAAATCAAGAAAAGTACAGACATATAAACACAATTTCAAAAGTTCACATTACATTAGCTATCTTCAGATTAACTAGTGATGTGATTATTTGCTTTTTTTATACTACTCAGTTTATGTGGAACTAAACTATATTCTATTCTAAGTAGATTTTTCCAGATAAAAGGATTTCTTCTTCTAGAATACAAATTTGATTTTAACAATCTTAAAACAAATATTTTTTAAAAGTACTATATAGTACAGTTAAACATTTTTGCCTTTAAAACTATAATATAGTGAGTCCAATTAGCCATACGGGACCAAAATTATTATATCCACCATAGTTGTGTGGGAAGGCAGAATGGCTTTGTTCATAAGTTACCATATGTAATTTGCTCATAAATTACCATAAATAGCCCGTTTTACTATTTTTATGCTTAATCATTTGTTTTTCTTTCTTTTTTATTTAATGTTAGACACTGAGCAGTAACCTCTTACCTAAAATAATCTATGACCTCTTTTCATATATAGTAAGTTTATAAATGAAACCAAGTAAATGTACTTGTTAAAACTGTTTTGAGTAAGAGTACTCTGCAGTAAGAGCCACTGACCCCTGCAGTGGTGGCCACCATTCAGAAGGGTTTTTAGTTCTCCTACTGTTTATGAGCAATCTGAGGACATGTAATAGTGCGCTTATGCAGCCAAACCAGAATATGCTCAATGATTGTGGCCAACTGGTAATCTAAGAATTATGAAGTTAAAAATAGAGAATCCCTTGCGGCTTACACTGCATTCATGGAAATCAATTACTTTTGAGGAAATTTTGTGCAGGTACAAAGAAGCTGTATATCTAGAAGGCATAAGTAACAAGTGTCAAGTGGGAAAAGCTAGTATAAATTCTGCAAGTTTAAGATGCACACAGAACTAACCTTTTCCATAGCTTTTGCTAGTTTCTTTTATTTCCTCTACCCAAACGGAAATTAGAACACAATTGGACTAACTTATTATTACCATCTCCAAGCAGTATAAATGATAGTTTTCTGTATTTAATGAATTATTGTATTTGGCATATTCTCTCCCAGAAATAAAAGACTAGCAACTATTTCTATCTTGGTATTCAATATTCATTTGATTGACATACAATTTTCTTAAGAAGAAAGAATGTGTCAACACTTTCTACATTTTTTGGAAGGATCTTATGGATTCTTCATTCTGACTTTTAAATTGTGTAGAGGTATAAAGTCCCTTGAGTCTAGAGCAGTGATTCTCAGCTCTGGTGCCTATAAGAATCACCTGGAAAATTTAAACAATCCTGAACATGGGCTGCATCACTGAGTTCCAGTGTGTTTTAGAGCTTCTCAGAGGATTCCAGTTGGCAGTCAAGGTTGAGACCATACTCTACTCAAGTGTGATTCCTGGACCAGCCATATTAATAACACTTGGGATCTTGTTGGAATTGCAGAATCTCTATGTACATATATGATGCATTAATAAAAACCAAAAGTGGTGGGAAAAAAGGAATTGTAGAATCTCAACCCTTACCTAATAAAATACAATCAATAAAATCAGACTCTGAATTTAAACAAGATCCTCAGTGAGATATATTCACATTAAAGCAGCTGGCCCAACCTAGACCAATAGCGCATGGAAACTTGTTAAAGGTGACAACCTGGACCCATATCACATGGAAACTTGTTGGGGTGATGTTCTTACATCTTACCCTAGACCTCCTGAAAAAACATCTAGGGTGGGGCCCAGCAATCTGATTTTCTGTGATCTTTCCAGAAGATGCTGCTGCTGCTAAAGTCTAAAAACCACTGCCCTAGATGGCTTGACAACCACAGGACAGAGGTCACCATGTCTGGCTTACATCGAGATTTCCAAGGGGCTATGAGACAGCTTCTCTGCTTTCCAGTTCCATGAATGGTACCACCATCTACTCAAAGTTCACCCAAGACAGACACCTGGGAGTGTCCTCCATTCTCTTTTCTGATATTCAATCACCTTCTACATAGCTTCAGGATCCATTTTCAGTTTCATCGTCACTTCCTGGTTTAGTTAGCATTTCTGTAACCTATATGACTCCATGGAGACTCTAACATGCACCCCTGACTGTTTAACTGAACCACTGTCTCCCGGTTTAGTCTTTACCTTATAACCAGGATGCCATGTGCTTTCCTATATAAGACCCTCTACGTGTGTTCTGCTGTCATGGTAAAGGCCAATTGCCTTACCTGACTTGTAAGTAAGGTCATGCACGGGTGTTCCCAGTTCAGCTAGTCTTATCTTCATCAATTCCCAGACATTAGGCTTAGGGAGATTTTTGATTCCTTCCCTGAATGATGAGCTCTCTGGGTCTTTCATTATGTTCTGTTCTGTCTGCCTAGGGCAGTTTCCCCACCCCACTCACTTATTGGTCAGCTTCATTTCAGCTGTACTGTCACTTCTTCTCAGTTTAGATACTAATTCTGCAGGGAAAACTTTCCTGCCTCTTGACTGAGGTACCATCTTATAACTTCCCTTATCTAGACAAGATGACTCTGGGTATGCCTAGAGCAGTTATAGCCACTTTTAAACTAGTTCAGAAGGGGGCTGTGGGTCCTGATTGGCATATCCCTTCCACCCACCTGTCCACTCACTTGGTTCTGTTCTTTTTGGTTGGAAGCTGGGCTTAAAAGATTGATGTACAATTTCTGTGATTAAAAAAACCACCTCACAAGTAGGGTGATTTATTACAGGCTAGCGGAAGACATTAAAGAAATCAACTAAATCAGAAGGTCCTCATGTTTCACAAAAGGTCCTCTATAATGCACTGATTTAAGGCCATCATTACATGGGGTTTTCTCAAATAAAATTCTTAAAAGGACAGCTAAGGATATATAATCTGCTTTGTTAGATTTTAAAACCTGCTGCACTTCTTCTATTACAAGTGTATAGAATAATAGTTTATGAATGACACTACCTCATATTGTTAAACCCTGCTGTTATAGGATAAGGTCTACCCATGGAGCCAAGTGATCCTAGGGTTTTGTGACCACTGTTTCTTGCAATCTTGGCTGAAGAATTTCAAGTGAGTCATATATAGTAGCAGGTAGGAGTTTATCAGAAAGAAAGGAAAGGGGGTAAAGGAACACTATCATGGTAAAGAGTGGATTCTCTCAAAGAAGAGAGGGATATCCTGCTTTTCCAGTCCTCCAGTTTTATTGAGTCCTAGGGAAGTTTCCAGAGAGTCCTGCCCTGATCTACCTTTAGATTTTTGACCGACAGCAAAATTGCCTCAGACTTCCATGTCTCCACTACACATAATGTTATCCCATAGATGAGGAATTTTACTATCATAATGACAGGCTAAATATCCAAAGGCAACTCTGGGTCATCTTGGTCCTTGCTGACTGGTTCTAATTGGAACCTGTTCTTATAGATTTTATGGTTGGGGCTTTGCTTCTAATTGTCCTGTCTTCCTGAGTCCTGGAATCTGGTCTGCATAAAGGTCACTAAAGGTCCCCCTTCAGGGTTACCTGTTCTTTCTTATTGGCAGGGAGGCACCTTTGGGCTTCCATTTCTCCTGAAGATAACAGGTTATTTATTGAGGAATGTGACATATTCTACTGACTTAAACCAAGAGGAGGCCAGAGTGGCCACAGATAAATAACTTTTTAAAAGAAGAGGGTCAGCACAGTAGGCCCAGTGTATATAATTGTCCCCTTAAACCACTGTTGCCACAGCTCATGCCTGTCTGCTGTCACTGCTATGAGACCTGCCTTGTTCACCAGCTTTACTACTTGAAGTTAACAATTAACCTTTTAAATGTATTGCCTACAACAGTAAAAAAAAGGAAAAAACAGGCAAACAAAAACAATTAATCTAGAAAGTGCTTCTTTTGTTTAGGACCAGATTAAATGACAGAAATTTAAAAAGTTCTTTTGTATTAATCTCCCATCTAGGAAATAGTAGGTCATATAAAAGAAGAAACACTAACAATAAAAACATAAGTAGTTCAAAGAGAACCATCTAGTAAATATGTCATGTCAAAGAGTCAAAAATGCCACTATAAATCCTCAGGTGTGAATTCTGGTTTGAGTATTTTTAATTCATAGCTTACCCTTACTGAAATCAAGCCCCTTATGATACTAAAAACAATGAAACCAAGGCTTCATTTTGATGTTCTGTCTCAATTACCAACTGGAAAAAAAGTTGGCAGGTAATGGACTTGAACTAAGACACTATAATCTATCCTAGAAATTGGTCATGGTCAAGACTGGATTTGAAAATTAAGTACACAGTACGTATGCAGGATGATGAGAAGCCTGGTCAGGATGCAGCATCTCTGCAGTATTTCTCCATCTACTACTTGTAGCAGAGACCTCAGAAGGCAGGAAATGGAGGGAAAAACAAAATTACAGGGCAGCAAAGTCAGTCTTTGAGGAACTAAGAAGGGAGAGAAGAATGACTAGTTAAGGAGTTCAGAAGTAAAAAGGGTACTTTCCACTTGGCCTGAATACATTTTCTGAAACAAAAGAGGAAAGACCTGGGGGATATCATATAAACGTTCATGTGGCCAACAGCGAGTCCAGGGCTCAGAGATCAGGAATGCAGGACTAGCCACTCAAAACTCTAAGTGCCATCAGGCATAAACAAAGTAAGCTCTTGGCAAATAGTCAGCCATGACTATTAGCTCCTACCATTAATAATACCTGACCCAGCAGATTTCATTTCAGTACCTCAACTTGTCCTCTTGGCCACCCAAATTGTCTCACTAGTTTGAATGGTTCCAAACCCACTAACCTGGTAGGTAGAATAGAATGACTTATTTAACTGTTTCCAAATCAACATTTAGAAATAATAGTCGTAAGTTAGCTTTTGCAATTCTAAGCTTGGTTGAATCAGGAAAGCTCAGTTTCCTTAAAGGTTATAATGTTATGTAATAGCTAATGTATAAAGAACAAGAGGACTTTAAGAGAAACTTTGGAACTTGTCAACTTACGTTTATATCCTCCAGCAATGCCCGATTGTGTCAGACATCTCTGCAATTCATCAGCATCTATTTGCCCATCCTTTTATGAAGAACAGGAAGAGGGATCACAGTTGTAATTTGTATTTTCAAGTTATTTGTTTACCCTCAATATTCAATGCAGCAATACTAACAAAGAAAAATGAGTATTATCATGCCCCCCTTCTTTTTTAATAAAAAGAATGTCTTCCAAAAGTGGGCAATCTTTTCCTCATCCTAATTCCAAACATAATTTAATGATGAAAGAGAGCTTGTGTTCGCAACTTTTGTTCTCTCAGTCAGAGCTAGGAAATTGCCCAAAGTAAGCATTTTAAAATAAAATGATTTAAGGAGTTGTTTAAAAATTTTTATTTTCTTTTTAGGGGGAAAGAGCAGGGTACACAGCAGACATCAGTAAATAAAAGGCCTAATTCAAACAGAAAGAGACTCTTTGATCACCTTATGAATTAGTGAATTTTTTTTTGTAAAAGAGCACAATTAGACCTAGAAAATATAAGTTAGGCTCCTGGTTACCTGCTCACTGACTATACTAGGTCAGAACTAGAGATATGTGTAATTTCTAGAGATTTTAAAATAGAATATTTAAATTCTCAAGTTTTGAGTATAATAGGTTACAAATAAGGAGCAAGAGTAATAATTTGATGATGAATATGCTGAATACAGGCCAGGGCTGCTGAAAGCTAAGCAGATAGGGTCACTTACACACTGGAGGCTCCAGCAATCTAAGAATGCTAGTCTTGAGGCGTGCCCTGTCTTGTGGTTTCAAAGATACAGATCAATAAAAGATTAAGCAGATACTCAAGAGGAAAGTCTTGCAGTTTTAGACTCAATTTTCCATTCAAGTTCTCAAAGCTGTATTTCTTAGAGTGTTACTTTAAAAGGTGATCCATAATATGCTATAGCATTTTTTCATATTATGATTTTGCTATTTCTAGCTTTTTACCAAAACAAGATTAAGTTGAATTCATAAGAATAAACAGCTCCTCTGGGTGTGTCTGAGTTATGTAACAGTATATTTACTATACTCAGTGACCCTGGAAGCTAGGTAAGTGTCTTCCCTTGGGGCAACCCAGCAGCTGTCATACAACTTGGGAATGCAGAGAAGTGGATCTTGGGGAGTTGACCTGAATTCTTTCTCTGGGTCAATAGGCCACAACACCTAATAAGGATGTGGGAGAGCTGACCTAGTAACAGCATTTGCATCAGAGAGAAAGTAAACTGCTCACAGGATTAACTTCCTGATACTGAGAGTAGTAATTTCTTATTTAGAAGCTTATGGGTTTTTACCATACATACCTATTTCCTAAGGATAGGTAAAAATTAACAATCAAATTCACTAGAATCTGGCTACATAATTACTAATACATGTCTTTAAGTTGTACAGACCAAGGTTTATGTACATCAGATCTTGAATTTCTTCTCTTGAAACCCCCCTGGACTCACAACTCAGTTCTAAAGACATTTTCTACCTTACAGATCTTCAAGTATACTTAGAATCCCTACTCTGTTCAATCTTACCTTCATTCAGTCACAAGCTTATTTTCCAACTCAGCTAACTTAATTAAGTACAGATACCATTTTGTCTTAATTTGCTCTGAATATTCAGAATAAAGAACTAAAATAAGAAGCTAGAATCCCCCTACTCAAAGAGGCTGAGGTAGGGATAGAAAGTTTGAGGCCAGCCTGGGCAATTCAGTCAGACCCTGTCCCCAAATAAAAAGGGCTGGAGATATAATTCAGTTCAATTCCCAGTACTACAAACAAACAAACAAACAACTGTCTTTCTTTCTATCTTCCTTTATACAGGCAAAGAGATTCATTTCCAGGGCAAAGTTCATTTTTGTGTCACTATATCAAAAGGTCACACAAATGTGAATCTGACAGTTTTTTAATATTAAAAGGAAAAGCTAACCTGTCCAGCAACGGAAGCGAAGTAACCATACAGTGGATCCTGAGTTTGTCCTGGAAACGCAGGCCCTCCAGGAGCCCCTCCATACTGTGCAAAAGGAAACACAAATGCATCATTCCGCTGAATCAAGTTGTATTCTTTCACCACAGAGAGAGCTTTTGTGCAAAGCCAGGCAACTGTGTGCTTGCCCTTCACATGACTTAGCTCCCCACCACCAGCACACTCTAACCAGCAATCACCCCACCTCTTTTTTCCACTCTCACCCTTTTATAACTTAAGGACTGGTGACTTGGACCCAAACTGGTTTTCATGAAAGTGAGAGCCTGTATATGTGAAGTCACTTTAAAAAGCCCTTTTAAACTGCAGGTTACAGCGATGAATATAACCTAGGCAAGGGCAGAGCTCCAATTGTTTTCCTTGTTTGTATAGCTTTTATGGTGTTTTAAAAGTGTTTTAAGTACTAGGTATGGCTGGAGTTGGTACAATGCTGAGACAGGTGTGGCCTAGGGAAGAGTTTGGGACAGGTTATCTCTCAGGCGGGGCAACGTAGTTTCAGAAGGAGCTCCCTAGACGATGCGCTTCCTTGATGCCTGGCCAGGTAGACTTCCTCCAGGACTTTTATGCTCACAAATTTTCCCTGACCTCCGCCCTCCTGCCATCCTCCCTCACACTTTCTTTTAAAGGGATGAAGACAGATCTCAGGACCATTCTAGATCAAAATGGCTGTAGTTGCTTTGGGGGAAAACCGAGAGGGAGGAAGAGGAAGCCAACACCCCACTTTCACAATTTCATGCTGCGTATCTGAGAGTCACAGGGTGGGCTTCTTGGATCCCATTTCACTCGTGCCTTGGTCCCACGGGGCCACCCAGGAGAAGGGACCGGGGGATGGATGAAGAGAGAGGCAGAACCGCAGGGGCCCGAGACTAGGCGGGGAGCGCGCAGGGAGAAGTCAGGGCAGCAGCCCCGGGATCCGCGCGGCAGCGCCCCCTCCCCGCGGGCCGCAGCGCCTCCAAGAACGGCCTGTCGGCGTCCTCGGAGCCCCAGGCTCGCGCTGGGGCAAGCAGCACTTACCCCACCTGGGTAGTACCCGCCGCCGGCGCCAGGGTGCCCCGGGTACGCCATGGTGCAGACTGCGCCGCCGCCCAGTGCGCCTTGCCTCCCCGCCCCGCGCGCGGGGCCGCCCCCGAGCGCACCACGCCGGCCCGCGGGGGACGCGCGCTGCAGCCACCTCGGTCTCCCGGGTGCTCCTCGTCGCGGGCTCTACCTGACTAGCGCGCTTCCAATTCTTTGCCGTTTCCACGTCAAGGCTATGCATAATTGAAGGTCCAGTGGTGACCTAAGATCTGCGATGAAATTCACACATGGGACTTTCTTCCCTTCGAAACTAATGGCACATTCCAATACCACTGCACCGCCCGGGGAATTCATTTTTTCCCCCTTCCTACTTGGCTATTTTCTGGCACGTTTGTTATTTTAAATAACGTTATTGGCCAGGGCAGACCCGCTATGAGCAGCGTTATGGGGAAGGGCCTGAATGCATTAGAGCAACTTTATGGTGCCGGCGGGTGAAGGGGCGTTGAAAGATTAAGGAAGCGCCTTTGGAAAACAGGAATAAACTTCTGGAACTGTGTGTGCAAGGAGGCACTTGGCTTGCGTTTGCACAAGTCATTGAACAACAATGGCGTTTTTCCCTGTCATAGGGATAAATCATCACCGGGTTAGGCTGGGCGTAGCTCAGATGCTAACTAGGGAAGACCGGAGTATTTTCTGGGGAGAGTAGCCTCACCCAGATCGTTCCTAGGAAAATGAAATGTTTTCATGCAGTAAATCTGGATGATTCTAGTAAAACCAATCCCTTTTCCCATAACTGCTGAGCTACATTTTATACAAGAAAAGTTTAGAGCAAACTAAGGGCGCAGGGCGGCCATGTAGTTGGTATCAAGTCAAACCCTAGATTGGTGGAGAGCAGGTTTAATCTAGGTGCAGCAAGTGCTGCCCAGGCAGACCTGACCTTAAGGAAGGTGAGAGATGGGTCCTTCACCTGAGTTTTTCAGAAAATATTTCTCAGCTGCACACAGTTTTCTTTTCATCTAATTGAACAGTCAGAGGCAAGACACGAGATTTAAGTTTGGTTTTGTTTTATGTAATTTTGATAATTCAGAAAAATGCTCACTTGTCTTTGTTAAGGACTAGACAATGTTTTTTTTTTTTTCTTTCTGACTTTGAGAACTGTGTTAATAAGCAAGACTCACAGAATTTGCTATGAAGTTTGCACTAAAAGACCGAAAAAGTCATCAACATTTAAAGAGCACCTGACCAGTAAGTTACTTCTCATCTTGGTCCTAGGGGTTCCTCCATTCCAAATTCATTAAGTTCATTGTTTTCCCTTCAGGTGTAACCTCCTTCCCAAGTTCTCTTTTTGGACACACAAGCTCCAAAAATTAAAGTTCCAAATAGAAAAAATTCTTATTGTCTCAGAGCATGTTGTTGCCTTTGTTATCTTTGAATCAGGAAGTAGACTGTTGCTTTCAAATACCATGGTGATCATCAAAGTTAATTAGGTGATTTGAGCCCTTTGGCCCCTATTTTGAAGCTTTAAACAACAGAGGATCTGGGTTAAACTCAAGAGTTGAGTCTAATCGCTCTTTCAGTATGCAGGTTTGAAAGAAGTGTATAGCATGTAAAATATTGGTAAGTAATACAGAATTATTTTATGGATAAATGACTGTTCTAATTGTCATTTCAGTAGTCTAGACATCTTCCTACCTACCCATACTAAAGAATCCAACTTGTGTTTATGTGTGGGCTCGCGCACTACATGTGGTGCTGTGGCTTGAACCCAGTGCCAAGACTTGGGGCCTTGTGCATGCCAGGGGAATGCTCTACCACTGAGCTATACCCCCAGGCCAAGAATTGTATTTTAATGGAGTATAAATTCTTATACTGCTAACAAATTGGTTAAGCTGCTGCTGTTTTAGTTTCTAAAAAATCTGTGGCAATTAATGACAACAAACCATATTTGTGTGTATATGGGTGTGTGTGTACACATATATATGCATGCATGTATATGTACTTTGTGTGTGTGTGTACTCACATATAGCATTTTACATATTTGCTTAATCCTCATAAAACCCCATGAGATAGGTGCTATTTTTTATCATCCTCAGTTAGAAGTTGAAGAACAGAGGAGCTGAAAGAAGGCAACCAAGTGGAATGAACACAGAACTGAGCTTTGCTGCCAGGCTCTGACTCCAAAGTCTGTGCTCTGCACCCAGAGCAGCAAGCTTTTAAGGGTGCAGATACTAAATATTTTAGGTCATATCCTTTCTGAAGCAACTACTCTGCTCTTACAGCCCACAAGTATCTGGGGATGGTACATAAATGAAAAATGTGGCTGCATTCCAATATAACTTTATTTATGAACACCAAGGTTGAATTTCCTATAGTTTTTGTATGTGATGAAATCTTCATTTTTCCCCATCCTTTTAAAAATGTAAATATCATTCTTAGCTTCCAGGTGTACAAAAAGAAGAGGTAGGTCAGAGCTGGCTGTCAAGCAATAGTTTGCCAACCACTGTAGGAAAATGGCTTATGACTCAGGGAATATAGCACTTTAGCAAATGATTTGCTGACTTTAAGATAAAGCCTATGAGTAGCTGTGTCTGAGTCACCCTGAGGAATGGTAACCTCCCTGGGGTGGGGTCTTACGAATAGAGTGGCTACTTCAGACCTCTTCCCCATTGTCCAGTAGGATAATCAAGAGGAACACTGTTATACTGTGTCTTGTGTCTTGCCCTATGCAGTAGTAGTCAGGGGGCATGTAAAATGACAAAGCTGAATGCCAGGCTGTCTTTACATCCTTGTTCATGGAACATGGGTTCTTTTACTGAATGTTACAGAAACTAAACAATTCAGGAAAGAATAAAGACTCAATAGTAACTCTTAGAAAATACAGATGCAACTTTCTTTTATGGTTTTAGTATTCATTCCAATAGAAGGTGTGGAGGTTCAGTGAAAGAAAATGTAACTTTCTAAGTTCCTGGTATGTGCCAAGAGTTTTTTACTAGATGTTTCCTTATTACATCTAAACCACCTCACCTTCTAAATAATTGTGTTTTATAGATTAGGAAATTGAGGCATAAGTAACTTTCCCAAGGTCACATGCCAGTTTTTGATTCCTGATCTATAAGTCTAAAGCACAGGTGTTTTGAAGTAAAAACAATATACAAAGACACTGAACAAAGCTTAAATTTCTTTCCCTTAATTATATTGCTTCCTGAGAAATTAGGGCAAAGGAGAGGCTACAGAAAAAGTCTTAAAGATAGGTAACCCCTGCCTCAGGCAAGATAACACAAAAAAATTAAAGAGGGATGTTTACTTCTGCTATCCTAAATATAGGGTAGAGAGAGTCCACTCTTCCATTGTGTCCATTTTGATTCTGAACCAAATAAAAGCCCCAGTGGAATAAGAATTCATTCTTATCCCTATACCTCTAATTTGTGAGTTAAAGAAACTGAGTGACAGAGCACACAGCTATATATGTACAAAGTTACAAGAGGATTTTCTAACTGGTCTGGACAATCTGGGAAGCTAAAATACAGTGCTATTTGTCCTAACAATTTACTAAGTCCTAGAGAAAGATGAAAGGAATGTGTAACCACTTCATTTGGATTGAGGGTTGTGGCAGCAGCCTGACTTAGGGAGAGAGCTATATCATGTTTATAGATAGGAGATGGATCATAGTTATTTTGGGAAGTCATTATAATCACAGAAACTTTGGTGATCATCTATGTCAATCATGCTGTTTCACAGATTAAAAAAAAAAAAAAAAAGAACCTGGGAGAAGCAAACACTAGTCCAAGTTCTCCATCCATCTGATGTAATATTTTATCCTTCTGAATTAAAGATAATTTTTGCTTCTTAGAGAGTGTCATGGTTTTGATCTTAAATGTTCCCCAAAGGTCATGTGTTGAAGACTTGGTCATCAGCCTGTGATGTTCTTGAGAGGAAGTGAAACCTTTAGTAGGTGGGGCCTAGAGGGAGAAAGTTAGGTCACTGGGGACATACCCTTAAAGAAAATATTGGGACTCTGTCCCCTTCCTCTCTTTTTGCTTCCTGGTTACCATGAAGTGAGCAGTTTTGTTCCATCATGCATTCCCCACCATGGTATATTGCTTTGCCAAGGGAACAAAAAAACTACAGAGTTAACCAACCTTAGACTGAAAACTCTGAAACTGTAAACCTTTGTTTCTTATAAGTTGTGTATCTCAGGTATTTTTTCACTGAGATGGAAAGCTGACAAACACAGATAGGATCCTATTCTTTCCTGGTATACCCTCCCCAATCCATTTCTGTTCATGTTTTCAAGACAAAAGGCAATGTGGACACTCCCTTGTGCCTGGGAAAAAGGTAACATAAGCATTACCTATAATACCCAAGCAGAACTTCCTTATTTAGATAGGTGGTGAAAGAAACTATGTAGTTAAATAACTGCAGGTTTTTCATTCTTTCCTGAAGATGAATTAATTGCAGGTCTAATGTATTTGGGAGAAATAAACAATGACAGTTGCCAGATTAAAATTTCAACTCTCTTTTAGTTTATGGGTATGGCACCTCATGACTTAAAGACTTTTGCCTTAGAAACTCAATCTTCAAGTATGAATGAATGATAGCAATCAAGGTAATCAATCAATACAATCTCCATTTTCTTAAGATTCTGAGGAAAGAGTGTGAAGACTGGGATATTAATTTGGGAATAAGAGAAAAATTTTTCCTATTTTTGTCCAGAATAAGAGCTCAATTAACACATAATTAGATAATTATTTCCAATGTATATCAACACTCCATCACTGGTGTTTTATTGCTTGCACAATAAGTGTTTAACACTTCTTGTCACATTGTGGGTGATGATGAACCATCAACCACAGTGTTCAATATAATTTTCTATCATGATGGAAATAGTCTATATCTGTGCCATCCATAAACTAATAGTTTGTGCTACTGAGCACATGAGATGAGGAATTTAAATTTTAGTTTCAATGAATTTAAAAATAAATTTAAATTTACGTAGCCTTGTGGCTAATGACTACCCTGTTGGACAGTAGAACACTTTCATTGTGCTGGTTGCTTCCTCCTTGGATCTCAAGAATTTGTGGGAAAGA